TAGCTGCAGAGGGACCACTGGCAATACTGGTGATTAGTTGTTTGGCCTTTGCCCGCATTTTTTGGGGCAAAGCTTACAAGGTTCAGTTTGAAAAGGGGGGTATGGTTTTGACATGCTGCAAAATCCCCATAAAGTTTAACCTGCCCCCTGTATTATAAGTTACCTCTCACATGTGCCTTTGCCCCCATCACATTCCTCATCTCTTAAAGTAGCCCCAGAATGTAGCAGTCACCAGAATTACCCCCTCTAGTACAGCTGCAGCCACGGGAAGTACTCGGCTGCTGCCATTTAGTATCAGCCAGTGAGAATGCTCTGAGCGTCCTGAAAACCAGAAGGAACAAGTGCAGCTGGTTTCACTCTGGTTATCTGGGTGCTTGTCATTGACCTGCTCCACACACCAAATTACCAGCCCATATTTTTATTTTACCCACCTCAGGGTGAAGAGCATTTTAGTAGACACTACGGTAGTAAGCTGCCACTGATGCTTGCTGATAAAGTCAGCAAGGGATATACGCACTTCATTATAAATCGGCCCCTAAATGTACACTGCATTTGCCCAAAGGAGAAACGATGGCAACAGATCAAACAGTGATTTCATAGGGTAGGTCTGTTGTCACTGCACCTTTCTTTCTATCTTACAGTCTGCTGCACATTCTATCATGCTGTGAAATGCTAGCTACAAAAGTGCTCTGCATATCCTTTATCTTGATAGCTACGGGACTTGAGATTAGCGCACAAGGCACTTGTTACCTAATCCCCCTCAGATGATAGTACATCTCATGTAGAAAACACAAACGTTTATTTTGCAGATTACCAAGCAAATTGTTATGTTTTAGGTCTGTAAAAAGCTTGTATCAAAATGTGGCAGTCAAAGATTGGTTGATGTTGCTTACAGAGTGTCAGGGTTTCTTACAGTTCCTCCTCCAGTTGGCTGCAGTATGTCCGACACCGTTTATTCCTTTTTGCTGCCTTCTTATGACCAAACCAGTAAACATCATCATTCTGCAACTACTTACAAACTCCAGACAAATTCCAGTCTCAGAGTTCACTATTTAACCATTAGCTGGTCCATTTAGTCTGCGCCTTTACATGTGTTCAGATCTACCAAGCGCTCTTCTGTTGTTCCTTTTCTCCATGTATGACATCTATACAGCACACACCTCCACTACACTACAGCAATAGATTTACAATTCTCCCCTGCTAACATGAATAGGTTAAATTATGATCCATAGTACATATGTACATATGTACATAACATGTAGTCGTACTACGGATCATTTAAACCTATTCATGTTAGCAAGACAGAATTGTAACTATATTACTGCAGTGTACCAGGTTAAATGATCCATAGTACACACTTTCAGTACACTGTAGTAATAGTTACAATTCTTCCCTGCTAACTTGAATAGGTAAAATGATCCCAGAGGCAGATGCATGATCAGATTTGTAGTTCCACGACAGCAGTGTGAAAGCAAATAAATATGTTTTATTGTTCTGTTGTTCTGTCTATTGTTTTAAAGCTCTGCATAATCATAAAGAAATTGGCCTAAAATCATTAGTATAGTATAATTTTTTTTTTATATGTCACCTGTCCCTTTAAGAAAAAGTATCGGTAATTGGTATCGGCAAGTACATGAGGGGAAGTACTTGGTCCTGAAAAAGTGGTATCAGGACATCCCTAGATTGTCATGAGCAACAGTAGAATGGGTCCTTTAAATTTCCACACCCCTGGTACTGAGATGCAGAAGGGTTCCATCACCTGATGCCTTGAAAGGAAAATGAAAATATCTTCTTGTGTTATACGGTACGTGCATGGAAAGTGTAAAACATGTGTGCATGTAAGCAGGCTAAGGAAGAGGAAGCAGCAGTCTCTCTGTAGAGGTCTGACAAGCCACCTGCTGAGTTAAAGCCAGAGCTCCCCAATCGGCATGGAGCATGAGCTTTGCTGAATGCAGAGTTATTCTGCTGATCCAGTGGGGGGCATGTCAGAACTCTGAAGAGACAATAATGAAAGACTACCTAATAGTCACATATATTGTGGCTGCATGGAATATGGCAGCACTGATACTTCAGTACTAATCAAATGATTTGGCACAATAACCGTGATTTACTGCATCCCTCTCTCAATGTAAATCTCAGGTCTAAAAACTGGAAGGCAAATAGAGCTTATCTTAACTGCTAAATGCTGGGCACATTCTGCCGATATAAACATACCAGGGAGAGCATTAAAAAATCTGCATATGAAGTACAAGGATAACAATGGGTAACAGCACACCTAGTAAAAATGGAAACAAGGTTTAGAAAAATGTCTTGGGTAAATGTTGCAACAAAACTAAAAGATGGGCGTACTGCAATCATACTCTACGTACTCTGCTAAATGTTGTTAGACTTCATTGGCAAGATTGGTCACATGCTCCCGGTTTAAAAAAAAAGTGCAAGATTTATCCAGCCAACATGCAGCATAATTGAAGCATCAGTTTTGGGTGAACTTAATGCGTGTGTTGTAAAGCAGTCACCTCTCCAAGCTCACTCCCATGATGGACGACAATCTCACGTTTAAAGGATAACTATGAGGGGAGTGCTTTTCACTCACCTCATAGTTCTAGCCGACCTGTGACAATGAAACTGTCACATGTCGGCTCAGTTGGCTCACTTCCCGATACTGTCACAGCTCTCTGCCGTGACAGGGGAGGGGCTGGATTCCCCCCTCCGATCCGCCAGCACTGACTGGCGGATCAGACAGGGGAGGGGGCGGGTATAGCTGGCTCTGCCTCTAGATAGGCAGAGCCAGCTGTCAGTCACGCAGCTGGGCGGATACAGACATAATTGTCGGGATCCGCTTCAGCTGCGGCGTCTCAGTATACCGTAAGCTGTTGCTCGCGGTATACTGAGCTTAGGGTGACGGGAGGACGCTAGTTTGTGTCCTCCCGTTACCCTGAGAACTATGGGAAAAAGCCTTAACCCCATAATTCTCCTTTAACTTAATCATATGCATTGAGATTGTAGTCCATCCCAGGAGTGAGCTTGGAGCGGTGACTACTTTACAACACACACAGGGAGCATGTGAAACAAAGAGTAGCCCCCCTCCAGAAGGAAGGATGGTGTCAGCACCAATTCAGAGATGATTTGAGGATCTACAGCCGAGTGATACACAAATACATTTTTGTTAAAATACTTGAATGCATTTTTAAGATTCAGCTCCTGAGTTTAGGGTCACTTTAATGTGCAAGCCTAGCCAAAATGTGAAGAGTAGGGATAGGTTAGAACCCCTCTTGGGCTTATACTGCAGTCACAGATCTCCGCTACAGGAGGTTTCCCATCACTTCCTCTTCTGGTGACAATAATTTCATTAGACAAAAGTGAGGGAACATTTCCACAGGCAAAACAGAAATAAAAACAAATGCTTAGTAGAGTGGGGGTAATAGGCTAGAACTGCTGTCAGCATTTGTAGTGCTCTAAAAATGTGTGGGTAGGGGGAGCCGGATCTAAAGTTAGTTTTGTTTCTCAGGGTGAAGATAAATCCATATTGCAGAGACCGATCATGGTTATTCTGACAAATAACCTCAGGCCTCAGATAACTACAGGGAGGTACCTCTGTACTTCTATAATTGGACTCCTAAACCTTTGGTGTGGTGCTCCTGTGTCTTGGTTTGACCACCAGATGGGGCCACCCCCTTGGGGTTTTCTACTCTCACTGAGGAAGGTGCAGGTGGCAATGTATACCTAGAGGTTCCATGGATTATTGCTGTGTCTTCAATGAAAAAAAACATTTGGGCTCAACAAACACTTTGAGCTAGAATAACACCAGACCATCATGTAAAAGCTACTGTGCGCCGGCAACAGCACTAACAGGGCTTCTAGGATGCCTCGGATAAATACAGGAAGGTAAATTTGGACTATAACTGGACTCCTAAACCTTTGGCCCTCATTCACACTGTAATCGGCCGGCACGTACAGCTCCGTGCTGCGTGCACGGCCGTATTGAGCAGCTCCCTGGAAGGACAGGTGCTGCGTGTGATTAGTACGCAGCACGTCCTTCTCCATGGGATTGCGCAGCCGTGCGCCTCCCTACGTTCACCCGCCCTGCATGTCTGTGCGGGTGAGCATACTCGTACGCTGACAGAATGGATCCGGTCTGCGTCAGTGCGAGCGAGGAAACACACACCCCTATGGACCTGCACTTCAGGTGAGCGTTGAGGGTGTGTACGGTCGCCTAGTCCCATAGAGAAGGACGGGGGCTGCGTACTAATCACACGCAGCACCTGTCCTTCCCGGGAGCTGCTCGATACGGCCGTGCACGCAGCAAGGAGCTGTATGTGCGGGCTGATTACAGTGTGACTGAGGCCTTGGTGTGGTGTTCCGGTGTCTTGGTTTGACAACCGAATGTGGCCACCCCCATTGGTTGTTTTTACTCTCACCGAGCAAGGTGCAGGTGGCACTGTACACCTACAGGCTCCATGGATTATTGCTGTGTCCTTCAATTAACAACTTAGCTTGGCTGGACAAACACTTTAAACTTTTAAGAACACCAGAAAATCATATAGTAAAAACTACTGCGCATCGGCCACAGCACTAACATTGAGTTTAGTCCTGAAACCTTTCTTTTGTAAAAAGAGCAAATTTATTTGAGAAATAATGTACTATTATTTCTAAAGTAAAAAAAAAAAAATAATAATACATGTTAACTGCTTCGTAATCCAAACATTACTCCTTCTGCATAATTTGCGTTAAGAAGTTAAACCTACAAACCTGTCCTTTTAATTTCTGTTCGTGTCATCAAAAATATTCATCTATTCATACATACACAAATGTACAATTGTTTTTCTTTTTTTTTTGCAAACAGGAAGTAGCCATAAATAAAACTTTATTCTTCAATTTCATTTACAAGCTACCAGGAGCCACGTTGTCAAACATGGCACCAGATAATTAAAATGGATGCTGTCACAAACTCAGAGGCTAAGGGGAGAGGAAAAAAAAAAAAAGCTGTTGATAAAATGAGGTTTTTTTTTGTAGGTAAAAGCTATGTAATACTGTCACAGAAAAGTGGCAAAGCAGTCTCGCCATCGATATTTTGGTTGCATTGTTTCTTTTTTTAAAATGGAAGCCGAGGGCCATGCGTTTCTCAGCTGGGTTTGCAGTCTGGCTAAAAGTCTGTACAGTCATTTTTTCTTTAGCAGTTTGTCACATAAAAAAAAGGTTAAAAACTATAGCAGCAACAAAGCAAACCTTGTCACGGGAAGGCATGAGTTAAAAAAAAACTAAAAGAAAAAAAACAGTCTATACAATGTGCTTGAAAAAGGTGCATAATTTATCTCCCGTCAGCTGGAGTTCGGCTAAGTGACAACATAATTCGGGAAAACCGCTCGCACAGCTCGTGCGTGGAAAAGTTGGGTAACTTTGGCGGGTCATTGAAGCCTTTAATTTCCGTTGAACAATCCAGCAGTTTTGGCAGGAAGTCGGTAAGCTTTTCTTGCAAAGAGGCTGGAAATAGATGAAAATATGTTGTCAGTTTAAATTTAAAAGACCTTTCTAGGAAAAATAATGAACAGTACGGTTTTGATGATTTAAAGGGCAACACCACACACAACAACTGGGTGGACTGCAGATCCACAGCCAAGGCCTGTGGCATTGACCTGCTTTCCTCAATTGTGACATGTCACAGCATCATTACCAACAAGAGGTAATGTACAGTCTTTTCAACTCTTAGATATTAGAATTATTATCGAGATAAAAATTAGATATACACTTAATCAACTTGATATAAAGAATATCAACAATTCCCATTAATGTTTTAGGACCCTCATTTCTATTTTCATTTCCCTTATTTCATTAAAATATTTCTAAACTCAAGAATAATCATTTATTATATTGCAGTTAATAAGCCCTTATATGTGGTGGCTTCATTAGTTTCCTTTTTTCAGGCTAAGAACATTTTTACAAGTACAGAAATAGATCCTGACTAGGGATGCACCCATATATATCGGCCGCCGAGACATATGCGCCGAAAATTGCACTTTTGGCTAAATGCCGAAAGTGCCATTTTCCTGCCGGTACATCGGTGCATCCCTGTTTTCTTTCTCTGTGTCCCAGTGGGGAGGAGAGAAAGTGTGACAGCCGGCCAAGCGCTCTGAGCGGCCAATGTCTCCTCCCACACCGCTCAGCCTCCTGTCACAGATCAGAGGAGAGCGGTGTTTGGGCGGAGACAGCCAGTGCTGTCACAGGAGGCTGAGCTCTCCTCCCTGCACCGAGCAGCCTCCTGTGACAGCTGTCAGGATGGAGAGCGGGTACAGTCAGTGATCAGTGATCGCTGAGTGTTTGTAGATAATTGAGGACATGGTATGGTTACTATATCGCCAATTATGAATGAATGGAAGTGATCTACATCACCTCCTGTTCATTCATGCTTGTGGATATAGTAAATACACTCTGTCCTCATGTTATGAATGAACAGGAACACTCAGTATAGAGGATTCCTGTTCATTGATAACAGTGGATACAGAAAAAGAGATTGAGGACTCTGTGTTCTCAATCTCTTTTTCTATTTCATAAAGGAAATAGCAGTAGTCTGTTTAGACCCCTAATATTTCCCCGAAGCCCCTAAAAGTAAAGTAAAAAATATTTAATAAAAAATGAATAAATTAAAATATTAAAAAATGAAAGTTTATAAAAAATAAAATATATTTTTAAAAATTGAAAACATTTAAATAAAAAAACATTTTCAGTTTTGGCCTGACAATTTTTTTTATTTCGGTTTTGAAATTTCCATTTCGGTGCACCTCTAATCCTGACAGAAATACAGTGTCCAAGTAAACTGCTATACACTGGTCTAAAATATCAAACCATGTTATCAGCTTTCCAAGCTACCCTTGTGAATTACAGGAGACCTTCCCCTATGCAATGGAGATGAGGGTCACTCAGATAGGAAGTTTGTTATTGGGCAGGATCATCAGGTAAAAAAACAAAAAATCTTGAAAAAAAAAAAAAAAAACGAAACGCAGCCACTAACATCTAAAAGCTGGTAAGCTGTTCTGCACTCACTGCTAAATGTGCTTTAACAGTGATTAAATATATAGTTAGGGAATACCACATTCGCTCATTACTTATGCAGGCTCTGCTTCCCGCTTTGCAAAATTACACAATGGTTGTGCTTTACTGCTCCTACTCACAGCGCAAGCCAAGGTCTGCTGATACTTTGAAAACAATGCACTCCCTTTGTGGCTCATTATCTTAACATTTGTTAAGTAGTTATGAAGAGTCATTGGAGAAGATAATCTTCTCTGCCTCTAGCTGCTGATCTGTCCATTGCTGCATTTAAAATAAAATAAATAAGCAAATGCAAAGATATTTACATAAACATTATTTTAGAATAAATGCTACGAAAATAATGAAAAATCTTTTTATTCAGTATGCACTGTCTAGGCTATCAGTCATTTGAAGACTTAAAGTGAACCTTTGGCTAGGCAATGGAAACTCAAGTATCTCCAAATTCTTAACAAGAAATCAGTCAGCTTTAGCACATAACTTTCACTAACCTCTGTAGCTGCAGGCATTGGGGGGCAATTCAACCTCAAATTTTGCAGCAGAAGTCTTTCCAAGCCACTTTCTCAGCTCCCTCCTACCAGCAATGATTTAGCAGTTTCTATTCATCTTACTTATAATGTGAACATAGGACAAGAGCTCGGGGAGGGTAAACTGAGCTTCTGAGTCTTTGCTGGGAAGAGGGTGAGCTGAGCTGCAGAGAAATAGAATTGAGCGACTCAAAAAAAAAAAAAACTCCTACTAATACTTAGCTCTCTAGAGCGGCAGGAGAACCCTCTGCCTGCCATTCAAGAGCTGTGGTCTCCAGCAGAACCTTCACGTGCGTCACCTCCAGGTATTTCATATATAGTATCCATGTCCCTGCTGCTTGCAGGGGTTCCACCTGCCTGTTTCTACATCAATAAAATATACAGTAGGGATGAAGGGCGGTGGCTGGAGGGGGGGCTAACCAGTGTGCATGGTGGGGCATCTGTCACAGGTGTTGTGGATGTGAGAAGGGGCTGTGGAACTTGAAAAGAGCAGAATGAGGGGACTCTGCCCACAAGTCTTCTCCTGCAGGTTGCTTTTATTTAGGATTATTTTTCTCACTTTAAAGAATAGGACTTAGATTTAGAACGAACCTCTCCATACTGAGATGTTGGGGGTCCCCAATGTGCTGGGGCAATCCATTTAAAGCTTATGTGACCTTACTCAGCTTAAGCTAATGTCATGCTCATTTAAAGCCTGAACCTTTAGTTTTGAATCAGCGAAATACATTCCAGGTGCATCAAAACAAAAGTAGTTCAATAAAATACAGATAGTTTTCTCTCTAAAGCAGCCACAGCCAGAGTAGAAAAGCCTGTCCCTGCCAGCAGTTGCACAGTGGGATCCTTGCTGTCTGCATGGTCTGACATACCCTAACTACTGAGTTAGCCCTGTTGCTCTGTAATAAGTAAACCTCATGCTCCCATCTGATTGGACAGCTCGTGCTCAGCAGGGTCTGACATTGAGAACTGGAGAGGGGAGGAAGTCAATAATGGCCCGACTTTGATGAATTAACTTATAGTGCCATGCTTGCCCAGGCTACTGGTTGATTCCATGGCATCAATCAGTAGCATGGACAAGCACGGTACTATAAGTTCATTCATCAAAGTCAGGCTGTTATTGACATCCTCCACCTCTCCAGTTCTCAATGTTTTCTCTGCCAGACCTCTACAGAGAGAGCATTGCTTCCCCACAGAGAGGCCCTTCTCAGCTGCATTCTGAGTGGAGGAAAGATTTTCCATTTAGGATGTGACTGATTTTTAAGGAAAACTACCTGTAAACTTTGCACACCTTTTGTTTTGCTGCATTTGGAATGTAATCAGCTAAATTTAAACTGAAAAGTTCAACTGGCTGTCACGTAAAAAAAAGATACACTAATAACCCTCTTTATATCATCAACCATTTGGTTTTAGGTACTTACGCTCCATTTCTTGTCCCAGGTATGAACACCAGCGATTCCTCATGTCTTCTACAGCAATAATGTCCTTTTCCTCCATGTCATCAACCAGTAGGATGGGCAAGCACGGTACTATAAGTTCATTCATCAGAGTCAGGCCGTTATTGACTTCCTCAACCTCTCCGGTCTCAAACATGGCTGCCGCTTTCTCATTTAATTTCTTCAAGACACAAAAGACAGTTGAAGTGTGAGTCCCGGTTTATGCTCTTTGTTGGACATCACAGTGATTACTCTATACCAGGGGTGCCCACAATTTTTTGTGTTAAGATCTACTTTTCAAATGAAGAGCTACATGAGATCTACCAACGAAAAAAAAAAAACCTCCCTTGCTCGCTCTCTCCTGACTGTCTCTCCTTGCTCATCCTCCTGGCTGTCATTCCTCGTTTTCTCTCCTGGCTGTCTCACTTCGCTCTCTTGGCGAAGTGTGCAACAATTCCGGAGGCTAGCATTATGTAGCTCCCCCATGTGTCTGGAAATAAAATGCAGCTAAGCACACTATTTGTATCATGCTAGCAGGTTTGCGCAGTGATTTTCTCCTCTCACTTCCAAGTTATGAATTAATGAGCTCTCTCATTTTTCTTGTTGGTACAGAAGAAACCATGAAAGACAACTCTAAGGGCCTTTTAAAAAAAAATTTCTATTAGGTACAACCATAACTAACGATCAGCCCATTGCTAATCCCTGATCCCTTAATCAGAGAAGTTGACTGAAAGAGCACAAGAACCTCCCAGTTCTTCTGATCCTTCGAAAATTTAAAGATCCCACAGCAATTCATCATTGTATGCAAACAAACTGTAGTACTAAGTGTATGGCCAGCTTCAAGCAGGCTTAAGTCTACCCAAAATAATAGTTACCCTCTACTCTCTGCTAAAGATTCCATCCTGTTCTGCTCACTAAAAGATTGCTGATTCCAAGTCTGTGCAGTGTCTGGGGTTTGTGTGAGGCTCAAAAAATGATTGGCTGCCTCGACCTGAGCAGCCAACCACTGCTTCTGCTTGCACATAAATCCTGCCTGCAGATACATCTTAGCTCCAGAAGCAGAGATCTACTGAAAATCAGAAGAGGATGGAAGCTCCTAGATGTCTTCATGGCTACTTTAGGTTATTTGATAATGGACAGACTGTAGCCAGTGTTAAGGTGCCCACACACCTTGCGATAATCGTACGATAATCGCGGGAAATCCCGCGATCGTACGATTATCGTAAGGTGTGTGGAAGCCGTGCGACCTCTACTACTGTAAGGTCGCACGACTTTTATCTTAGGAACATGTTCGAAAACCCGCCGAGCATCGTACGATGTTCGGCGGGTGTGTAGCATGTTCGTAAGATAAAAGCCCGACGAGTTGTTGTGCGCAACTGCAACTGCCCGTTCGACATTACGGTCATCGGAAGCCCGCCCCTCAGGGGGGCGCGGCTTGCGATCATCGCAAGTATGATCTGCCTGTCCAGGATAGGCAGATCGTACGTTTTTTAAAATTACCTTACAACCATCGCAAGACAAAAGTCTTGCGATGGTTGTAAGGTGTGTGCCCAGCATTAGTAAGGCTGGCCATTTACCCTGCAATCTGATTATACAATTGTTACACAACCTCCTTCAGGCAGGCCCTTGTGTTCCATAATTATCAGTAGATCTAAAGGAGATTAAACAGTCCATGTATGTTCAGCTTCACACTTTGGATCCGATATAAGACAGAGTGGGATAAAAGAGCTGGTCGTGGCTGGAAACTTTTATCCAGGTCCTAGTTTTCAGTTCGGTAAACCTGGTGCCACGTTCACAAAGCAAAATCAACGCTTAACATTTGTCCTAACTTACCAGGAGACACTCTCTACGATAATGTGATATGAGCTCCTCATCATGTCCTCTGTACATGCCTCTGGACAGCAGCTCTTTGTTGTACTGGTAGCCAAAGATAAGGTAAAGCAAAGCTTCAACATAGCTGAAACCAAGACAGACCGTTTTAAACCGGCTCGCAGAATGGCAATCAAAAAAGAAAATGCAAATCAAGGTAAACGTGTTTCAAATGACATAAACACTAAATTATAACAGATGAGAAAAAGATGCAGGTCTGGGGCGAACTGAAAAAGACTGGCAAAGAATGAATCGGGCAGGTATCCAGAGCAAATCCCAACGTACCCATTAGGAGATTTGCTTTGCCTTCCTCGGATTTAGAAATCCTGTGCCCGGAAACACATCTGCCACATTCTGTATAGTTTTCCAATACATTTACCACCAATCTCACTGTGCACATCATATATATCACAGCTGGGACTTCAGTGTACACAAATGCTGGGTAGCAGGTAAACAAGGGATTGAAGAACCATGGTTGATGGTTTGTATTGCAGGTAAACAAGGGATTGAAGAACCATGGTTGATGGTTTGTATGGGTTATAATATTGAATGTTTAAAGGGAAAAGCAAACAAAAAGTAAATGGTAACCTAAAGCTAGAGCAGGAAGTAGGTGACAAGTGCTGCTATCTGTATGTACAGTGTTTCCTTAGATTAACTTCCCTGAATACCTCGAGACCCCCTCAAACCTGGTGTTCTCACTATTCGAACTGCAGATAGCCGCCCCTCCCATCTCCTTCCTGAGATATTCAGATGGGATGGCAGAGCACAGACTTTGGAACTGAAAGCTGAATCTTTCATATCCAACACCCTGATCCAGGGACTCGCAGCTATTATGACAAGCTTACTTCATAGGAAACCTTTCCTGAGAGAGATAGATGCCACCATGGCTGACTTCTCTTTCTGCATATAACCTTTACATAGAACATTCTAAAACATATCAAATATTCATTCTTAAAGTTTAGGGAGTTAATCATAAAGTGTGTAAATTGAACTAACAACTGCAACTCCTTTATAAATGTATTTCAATCTTTTTATTTGATATCTGTAGCACTGGCATATAATTATGTATTTGAAAATGTGGGAAAACAATCTGCCTCATTATGTACATGGATTCCTTATTGTAGATACATATACAGAATATTCCCACTCACCTTTTGTTCTGAAACAGCTCCAAACCAATCAAAATGTACATTGTGGCGTCCCGGAAACACTTGTACTCCTTGTGCCAGCGCTACAAAAGAAATCATATACAGACACTGGTGACATTTACAATATCTTACAGAACAGGAGAGACAGACATCAAGGACAGGAAGTGAAGGAAATCTTTCCAACAAGGGCATGGACAGGTTAAAGTCAAATAAAAGTCTCGCACCTCATTATCATCCTCCCTTTCATAGTCTTGTACTTCTGGTTGTTATGATTCTTAATGATTCCTAACTGAATTTTAATTTGTACCCTGAAGTACCTTTATCTCTTGTGAAAATTCTCCTCCCACCCTTCCACTCCAGTGCTCTACACTGGCATTGATGAGTAATAGACACTGCTCTCTTCACATTGACTCTACAGAGAAAGAGAGGGAGGTGTCTGACCAGGTCTCTTGGATTATGGAGTGTTATGGGAAGGGTGGTCAAGCTCTGGTGCCCATTAGGCTGCAGATTCATATTTAGACAAACTACACATCTGTTATAACAGGAAAGTGGAGGAAACACCATGAGAATGGAGCCTCATATCACAATGTCCATCTGAATAAAGGTCTATTTCTATTACTTCACTTGGGTTTTAGAAAAACCTGATAGAGGCTCCAACTTTCCCTCACTGGACTAACGTTTTACATGTTTCGAACCAAAGAGATAAACGTACGACTGAGGGATAGTTCACACCAGATGCAGTTGTGATGCAGTCTGTTGAGTTTCACTGCTGCAGCCAAAATACATCACAATGCTTTCCTATGGGCTTTCACGTGCTGTATTCATACCATTGCAGTCCGTTCAGATGCAGTCAGAAAAAGTACTGCTTGTCCTATTCTAGCTGCATCTAACTGCACCGGAACGCATCAACATGCATGCAAACGCACCGGAACGCATTAAAAAAACCCAACAGAATTGACTGTGGCATCATCCAGGGACATCAAGGGGAAAAAATGCATCTGAACTCTTCAAAAACGCATCAAAACGGATCGCAATGCAACTGCGCAGACGCACGCAATTGTGATGCAGTTTCTGGTGTGAACTAACCCTGAGGCACATAACCGAACCAGAGAAAACATATTTAATGAAGATCAACCACTCCTGTGAATCACACCTCATCATAAATTGGGAACACCATTTACTGCTACAAATAAATCTGAAGTCATTTGTGTCACCACACCGCCCCCCATCCTGCTCATTGGACTATAAACGTTCCTCCAATGGTGAGTACCTTCCTGTGCTCTATTACTACTGGAGGCCTGCTTAAACACTCCCTATTGGCTGAAACAGGTTAGAAAAGCTGATTGGCACACAGAACATACTTTATAAGCCTGTCGGATTTCTACTGTACAGGCGGTTATGTGAAGTTAATATAAAGACAGATTCTGGGTAGGTAAACTAGCAGTATTTAAAAATACATTGAATGATTTTGTAATGAAAATATTAAGCGGGTGTTGTATAGATTCCTGTAGCTGTGATTAAATGTTCTACTGATACCTTTTACAATGGTACCCATGAATGCTTCCAAAGTATAATTTGCACAGCTGTATCTATGGGTATGTTTAATATGCAATTCAGTGTTGTAGGTACCTATTCCCTACCCCTCCCCCCATCTTAGCCCTCCCAAATAGCAAGAAATACATAGAGCAAAGACCACAGATGATCTTATGAAGTCTAATTCTATTTAGCAGCATTTCAATAAGGGACAAATAAAACAAATGATATGCACTTTATATCAAGTGTGATCAGCTGATGTAGCCATGTTGTTCCTACAATGTGCAAAGAATATAAAACCACTTACCCTGTATTCTTCCATATTAACCTCATCAGGTTTGATCATCTCAAGCTTCGCCTGAGCCACTTTCATGATGTTGCGGCAACTGGAAAAATAAAGAGATATTTTTCTTAATTAACACTGTGTATCCTTACTACATTCTCATTACCCATCTGCAAATCATGAAGGGTCAATATATGATAGAGAATGGATACATGATCTGCCATCCATTACTACCTAGTAATGCAGCTTGCACTCTGTGCACCATTCATAAAATGCAAACGGAGCTTCAATAGTTGAAACACAATTAGTTTGGCTGCCACAGGATTTGTAATTCTGTTTAGCCTTGTGATCCAGACACTCCTGCTAGGTCTAAGACCTCTCTGTGGGCTACAATGCAATTAAAGTACATTGGCAATGACTGAAATAGAAGCTGCCACTTTCTGTGGAAGGTGCATGTTCCAGGGCTGTCTTTCTTTTACTACTTAGTGGGTCAGGACTTATAGCGGATATGTACATCCTTCTTTAAGATTAGTGGCAGCAGAAGTGTAAGGCTATAAGACCCCCAGAGAGGCTGTTCCATGTTAATTGATAGTATTATCTACTTTCAGCAGACCCGAAAGAATACCTGTTTTCATCAGTAAGGCAAAAGATAGGTCAGCCTGAGGTCTCGTTCACACCTAGGCGTATTGCATATGTGCGTCTGTCGCGCGTTTTTTTAAGTCGCGCGTTTCCGAAGGCTACTTGGCTGTATCCCAATGGAAACGCGCAACGAAACGGCCTAAAGTAGTACATGTACCTTTTCAGGCGTGGGCCGTTTTGTAGCGCGTTAGGGACGGGCGGAAATACGCCAAGGTGGGAACGAGACCAATGAATACAATGGGATTTATATTTTTGAGCGTTTTGTAGAGCGTTCGTCGAGTGTAGAACGCGCTACAAAACGTTCAGGTGTGAACGAGGGCTGAGAGTCTTACACACAACATTGAGCTGACAGTAAACTGAGGGGCGCAGATTATATATTCTGCTTAGTCTACAGGCCATATATTTAAAGATCTTTGTATCGTCGGTACAGAAGCAAGCATTATGCACCCTCATTAAAAGGTCAAATAAAAAAGGAGCTTTTGTTGATGAATTCACTTCCAATTCAAAACTCTATTAAGCACTATTCAACCCACTTCCTCTAAGCATAGGTTGTCCTGGACTCACCCAGCCTGTTACTGGACAGTCAAAAGAAGAGGCAGCACAGTGATAAGCTCATCTCTCTGCTTTCTCTTTCCATCACTATGCTCCTTGTCCACCTAAGAAAGGGAGGTCTTCTACTTGGACTTTGTTTGCGGCCATTTTGTTGGATTGGATGGCAAGTTGGGGTAAATCTTTATCATTACATTCTATCATTTCTATGGCTCTACTTAAAGGAGAACTATGGGGTTAAGGCTTTTCCCCATAGTTCTCCTTAGGGTAACGGGAGGACACAAACTGGCGTCCTCCCGTCACCCTAGGCTCAGTATACCGCGAGCTACTGCTCGCGGTATACTGAGCCTAGGGTGACCGGAGGACGCTAGTATACTGAGACGCCGCAGCTGAAGCGGATCCCGACAATTGTGCCGGGATCCGCCCAGCTACATGACTGACAGCTGGCTCTGCCTATCTAGAGGCAGAGCCAGCTGTACCCGCCCCCTCCCCCGTCCGTTCCGCCAGTCAGCGCTGGCGGATCGGAGCGGGGAGAGTGGAATCCAGCCCCTCCCCTGTCACGGCAGAGAGCCGTGACAGGATCGAGAGGTGAGCGAACCCGGTATGTGTTCGCTCACCTCCCGATCTACTGAGCCGACCTGTGACAGTCTCATTGTCACAGGTCGGCTAGAACTATGAGGTGAGTGAAAAGCACTCACCTCATAGTTCTCCTTTAGCTCTTGTGCTTATTCTTGCATATATACACCCTCAATATGCATTTGATGTATACTGGTAGAGAACAATGTTTGAGGAAATGTAATCTGTTTTTGGTTTATATGGAGGATGTGTATATGTATGATTTGTTGAACTATAGATCTTGATGAAAAGCTCCTGAGGAAGCAACTATCTGCAAAACACGTAGAGCCTACTGAGATTCATTACTCATTCAAGCCTGAGGACTATGACCAAGATATGTATATGGCTGTTCTATCCTATACCCGTTATGCATAACCAATTTCTTGTCATGGCCTAATGTTCTTAAAGTTTTAAATATGTTTTTTACTAATATATAACTGTACTTATTGAGGCACCTCTATAGTCCCAGGCTCCATTGTAGCCATTTCTCTCTTTTTTTGTTTGTAATATAGATTGGGGGTGTGGTGCCACCCATTTGCATCACACTCCCTTATTTTTAGGATTTTTCTCAAGCAGCCCTTATGTAGCTTTCTTCTTGACAAGAAAACCACCGTAAAACAAATAAGGAGTCTGCCACTGTGGCCTATCGCTCGGAAAATGCTGGTTCGCTGGCAGGCATGCTGATGCCATAAGTAACTGATCCAGGAAAAAGAACAAAATAAGGAATTTTGACATTTCTCTGACTTATTTGCTGCATGCATGTTCAGGTCTGTAATCTAAAAGGACCTGGAAGCAGATAAAGCCCATTTCTCTAATGACAAATTACTTTAAAAGAATTCTGAAAAAGTGCCGACACACAGGCTCGTCATATTACCGTTCATCAAAACTCAGGTTGCGATCAGCAAACTGCTCCAGCAGGGTCCTCTCAACGATTTTCTTTGGCGCCTGGCTCTGGATGAAGTAAACAACCGCATGCTGTAACCGGTAATCGGTCTCTGGAGGGGGATCCTCTTGTGCTAGTTTCAATAAGCGTGCATACTCAGTCTTGATGGCCTAAGAGATACAAAGAGAGCAAAGCCATATTTATCACACTCAAAGCTGAAATCCTTCAAAGAGAATGAACCAACAACCATTTGAATAAATGGAAACAAAGTAATCTTGTATTCCAAAAAGAATTTAAAGCAACTCTGTTGTCCCCAAAAGTTGCAAAAAGCAGTTGTCTGTTCTGGTGGCTCGTGACTTCCACTTTCTTATCGTTTAAGCACTGCAGCCTTTAGATTGCTCAGCATTTGACACTTCTGGGAGTGTCACACGCCTGCATCCCCCACTGTGGTTCCATTCACATACCTCTGTGTCCCTGCAGGACTCTGCAGTAACATAGGGACTGAAGAATGGCACAACAGCACATGGTAGACGCAGGCATCTGACAGTCCTGGAATTGTTGAATACGGCTGGGTCTAATTAAGGCTACAGCGCTTGAAGGATGAAAAGGTAAAGGTAACGGGCTGCTGGATAGGCAAGTTAATATTTCTTTTGCAGGTAACGGCTATTTTTGGGTTGAGGACAAACTTTCTTTAAAAATCTACTGCCTATATACACGAGAGGCAGTTATTTGGACTGAAAAAACAAAGGTTACAACATGTTACTCCGTCATGCTCTAGCAGCAGTACGGTTCACAAGGCAAAAGGACCATGACTAATAGACAGGCTGTTTTCTAAATCTGTTCACAGCGCGGACACAGAAGTGCGTTCTTTTACATACTCTATAGGTTTACATATAGATGAAAGTATTTGTGTTGACATGAACTAATGACCAATAAGGGAAATGGATAAGAGATGCTGCAGTAATAATGCTGATCGTAATAATTTAAAGCAGAACTCTAGTTTTTAAAAAAACATTAGATGTCCAGGAACTGCAAAATAAAAAAATAAAAACAGAATCTGCTGCAATACTTGCCTTCAATTTGGAGCTCCATCCACAGTAATTCCTTTTCTGCACCCACTACTGAGCCAAGGCTGTCAAAGACTCGCCCCTTGGGGGAAGAGGAGGGGGCAACATCTATAAGTCTGGGTGCACACTACTCATGGACTGAGTGGTGCTTACCTGTCAATACATGAGCAGCGCATGGTCATGAAGTAGGGCCTGCCCACATCGTTAGAGGAAGGACCCATGGCTGGGTTCTAACCTTCTTGCTCCAGCACATCGAGTCACTGACCCACAATAACTTTGCAGATAAGAACTCCTGGACATTCCCAATCAGCATCACAGCCACGAAATTGTCATTTTCAGAGACATCAGTGACAGGTTGGCTTTAAGGGCTATAAAAAAGGCAAGTTCATATTCCACTTATTGAAGGATAAAGGGTAGCTGAATAAAACAGTTGCTCAGAGAGCAAGAGTTCCTTGTCTGGCTTTGTCTCATTTGAATATACATCGGGGGGAAAAAAAATGCAAGGGAGTCTTTCTGCTGTTCTGCATTCTCTGTAATGTAAAATTCTTAATACAGTGGTGGTAATGAGAATTCTTCATTCATATAGGCTATGGTAGGTGAGTGGAGGTAGAAGGTAGAAGATATCAGAGATATCAGAGCTGTAGTACTGAACGGCAAAGGAAGTCTCTGGTGTATTTAGCTACTGTCATTCACTCAAAAATTAAAAGATGATCTAATTTCAAATGCTAACGTAAAGCTATGCTAACAGTCTTCTTTGGATGGATACATAAAACATACTGGAAAACCCTACCCCCCAACACAGATCCTGGAACACCTCCAGGTGTAGGTACCACTCCCTGGGGCCAGGAGCTGCCGGGTAAGGAAGTCTGTCTTCTAATTGTCTACGCCCGTCAAATGATGGACAAGGCTGAAATGCCCCAGGACAGGGTCTGAACTACCTCTCTCGACAGGGACAGAGAGCCGTGACAGGATCGAGAGATGAGCGAACGCCGGTATGTGTTCGCTCACCTCCCGATCTACTGAGCCGACCTGTGACAGTCTCATTGTCACAGGTCGGCTAGAACTATGAGGTGAGTGAAAAGCACTCACCTCATAGTTCTCCTTTAGCTCTTGTGCTTATTCTTGCATATATACACCCTCAATATGCATTTGATGTATACTGGTAGAGAACAATGTTTGAGGAAATGTAATCTGTTTTTGGTTTATATGGAGGATGTGTATATGTATGATTTGTTGAACTATAGATCTTGATGAAAAGCTCCTGAGGAAGCAACTATCTGCAAAACACGTAGAGCCTACTGAGATTCATTACTCATTCAAGCCTGAGGACTATGACCAAGATATGTATATGGCTGTTCTATCCTATACCCGTTATGCATAACCAATTTCTTGTCATGGCCTAATGTTCTTAAAGTTTTAAATATGTTTTTTACTAATATATAACTGTACTTATTGAGGCACCTCTATAGTCCCAGGCTCCATTGTAGCCATTTCTCTCTTTTTTTGTTTGTAATATAGATTGGGGGTGTGGTGCCACCCATTTGCATCACACTCCCTTATTTTTAGGATTTTTCTCAAGCAGCCCTTATGTAGCTTTCTTCTTGACAAGAAAACCACCGTAAAACAAATAAGGAGTCTGCCACTGTGGCCTATCGCTCGGAAAATGCTGGTTCGCTGGCAGGCATGCTGATGCCATAAGTAACTGATCCAGGAAAAAGAACAAAATAAGGAATTTTGACATTTCTCTGACTTATTTGCTGCATGCATGTTCAGGTCTGTAATCTAAAAGGACCTGGAAGCAGATAAAGCCCATTTCTCTAATGACAAATTACTTTAAAAGAATTCTGAAAAAGTGCCGACACACAGGCTCGTCATATTACCGTTCATCAAAACTCAGGTTGCGATCAGCAAACTGCTCCAGCAGGGTCCTCTCAACGATTTTCTTTGGCGCCTGGCTCTGGATGAAGTAAACAACCGCATGCTGTAACCGGTAATCGGTCTCTGGAGGGGGATCCTCTTGTGCTAGTTTCAATAAGCGTGCATACTCAGTCTTGATGGCCTAAGAGATACAAAGAGAGCAAAGCCATATTTATCACACTCAAAGCTGAAATCCTTCAAAGAGAATGAACCAACAACCATTTGAATAAATGGAAACAAAGTAATCTTGTATTCCAAAAAGAATTTAAAGCAACTCTGTTGTCCCCAAAAGTTGCAAAAAGCAGTTGTCTGTTCTGGTGGCTCGTGACTTCCACTTTCTTATCGTTTAAGCACTGCAGCCTTTAGATTGCTCAGCATTTGACACTTCTGGGAGTGTCACACGCCTGCATCCCCCACTGTGGTTCCATTCACATACCTCTGTGTCCCTGCAGGACTCTGCAGTAACATAGGGACTGAAGAATGGCACAACAGCACATGGTAGACGCAGGCATCTGACAGTCCTGGAATTGTTGAATACGGCTGGGTCTAATTAAGGCTACAGCGCTTGAAGGATGAAAAGGTAAAGGTAACGGGCTGCTGGATAGGCAAGTTAATATTTCTTTTGCAGGTAACGGCTATTTTTGGGTTGAGGACAAACTTTCTTTAAAAATCTACTGCCTATATACACGAGAGGCAGTTATTTGGACTGAAAAAACAAAGGTTACAACATGTTACTCCGTCATGCTCTAGCAGCAGTACGGTTCACAAGGCAAAAGGACCATGACTAATAGTCAGGCTGTTTTCTAAATCTGTTCACAGCGCGGACACAGAAGTGCGTTCTTTTACATACTCTATAGGTTTACATATAGATGAAAGTATTTGTGTTGACATGAACTAATGACCAATAAGGGAAATGGATAAGAGATGCTGCAGTAATAATGCTGATCGTAATAATTTAAAGCAGAACTCTAGTTTTTAAAAAAACATTAGATGTCCAGGAACTGCAAAATAAAAAAATAAAAACAGAATCTGCTGCAATACTTGCCTTCAATTTGGAGCTCCATCCACAGTAATTCCTTTTCTGCACCCACTACTGAGCCAAGGCTGTCAAAGACTCGCCCCTTGGGGGAAGAGGAGGGGGCAACATCTATAAGTCTGGGTGCACACTACTCATGGACTGAGTGGTGCTTACCTGTCAATACATGAGCAGCGCATGGTCATGAAGTAGGGCCTGCCCACATCGTTAGAGGAAGGACCCATGGCTGGGTTCTAACCTTCTTGCTCCAGCACATCGAGTCACTGACCCACAATAACTTTGCAGATAAGAACTCCTGGACATTCCCAATCAGCATCACAGCCACGAAATTGTCATTTTCAGAGACATCAGTGACAGGTTGGCTTTAAGGGCTATAAAAAAGGCAAGTTCATATTCCACTTATTGAAGGATAAAGGGTAGCTGAATAAAACAGTTGCTCAGAGAGCAAGAGTTCCTTGTCTGGCTTTGTCTCATTTGAATATACATCGGGGGGAAAAAAAATGCAAGGGAGTCTTTCTGCTGTTCTGCATTCTCTGTAATGTAAAATTCTTAATACAGTGGTGGTAATGAGAATTCTTCATTCATATAGGCTATGGTAGGTGAGTGGAGGTAGAAGGTAGAAGATATCAGAGATATCAGAGCTGTAGTACTGAACGGCAAAGGAAGTCTCTGGTGTATTTAGCTACTGTCATTCACTCAAAAATTAAAAGATGATCTAATTTCAAATGCTAAAGTAAAGCTATGCTAACAGTCTTCTTTGGATGGATACATAAAACATACTGGAAAACCCTACCCCCCAACACAGATCCTGGAACACCTCCAGGTGTAGGTACCACTCCCTGGGGCCAGGAGCTGCCGGGTAAGGAAGTCTGTCTTCTAATTGTCTACGCCCGTCAAATGATGGACAAGGCTGAAATGCCCCAGGACAGGGTCTGAACTACCTCTCTCGACAGGGCGAGACTTCTGGTTATTCTCTAATGGTTGATGTACGCAGCTGCCATGCATTGTTTGACAAACAAAACCAGATGACCTTCCAGCAGAATAGTCCAACACTGTAGAGACAGTCAAATTGTCAGAAGCTCCAGGATATTGCTGGGAGATGAGGCTCCAACGACCAAGTCCTCCCCAGCCTGACAGGCTGGCAACTGTAGTGGGGACCCTCCGAAAGACAGGAGGGAAAGAATTCCCCGGTACCAGAGCCAGATTTTTCAGGCACCATGACGGGAAAGACCTGGTCATCCGTGCCAACTCAATTGGTCTGTCCAGGGGCTTGTCCCACAATGACAGAATGTTGCATTGTAACAGATTATGTAGATTCCATTCTTAATTTCTGGGCTCAATGGAGGCCCTCTTTGGGCTTGTGAACAGGTTGGAGTAAAATCCTTGAAACTGTTTTGGCACAGGAATTAGGCAATGACACCATGGTCGGCAAAGGTTCACTCTGGAAAGTGGGAGCTCAATTTGAGAAACAAAAAGGATGTGTCCTGTCAGAAATGGGGGAAGACCTTGTAGTCTGCTTCTTGGATTAGGAAGGTGGGTGCCACCAGCAGCACCCTTGATGATAATATCAAGATGCGGTCTGAAGAGAAGTTGTCGCTCAAACGTCATGCAGATCAAATGCCTCTTGCACAAAGGATCTGCAGCCCAGCGCTTCAGCCAAAGTGCGCTATACATGTATTCTGACATGAGACCCACGCGAGAGATGAGATGGGATGCTTCCCGCAAACAGTCAAAACTGAAATTGCTCCACGTGCTACTAAATCAAGTGATCAACTGCAGCAGTGGTGAGATCTCTTTTGGAGGGATTTTGACCAGTCAGCCACAGTTTGACAAAGTAAAGTTACAACCCGGTTAGGATAAAAGGCAGGACCCACCAGTGAGAACAGAGTTCTAGAAAAGGCTTCCAGATGGTTAACGGTTGGGTTCTTAAACACAGGAATGTCTTCTACTGGCATAGCAGACACCCTTTCCAAAGGAAATAAACAATTTTTGCACTATACCCTCTCCAAATGGGTACAAGGCTAATAAGCTCCAGGGGGGACCAAACAGCTTGTAACAGTGTTTCCAATAACCACATAGAGAGTTGGAAAAGCAGATGAAAGGGACAAAAAAGGACCGAAGACTAGAAACAGCAAAAGGTGGAAGCAACAGGGCGATCCTCTTGTTTTAGAGTAGTGTGCATTGCATCAATACAAACTAAAATGTTCTCCTTTAATGTTGGGGTAATAGCTTTATACTGCAACTCCTCGAGAAAAGTTAATCAGTCAGGGAATGGAGCTACTCTAAACCAAAGTTTGTGAGGCCAAGGGTATATTAGACATAGAATCTGTGGTAGGCTGGGCAAGCCTTGCATTACTGTACTAAAAACCTCACCAAAACGGCAGAGGATCCAACCACACCCAACAAAGCTAAAGTGGACAGCCATGACGGGACAGAATGATGGTTGGTGAATAGCAAACACCTAACTGTTCATATTATATCATCTCTCACACACTGGAAGTAAAATATTTCTGTATAGTAAGAGATTTTGTAGCAGAAAAAAACATCACAGCATAGGACAACAGAGAAAACTGACACGGCAGCTGCTAGCAGTACAAACAGCTAAATTGTATGCTCATCTTCTATCTCCTGCTTCATTTGCTTAACATTACAAAAAAAATCATTTTAGCGTTTTTGAAAACTAGAATTCCACTTTATTTTTTGGTACACTGATAAATATGAGAATGTGTGAGAACAAACTGGACTATGACACTGGAAAGCAGAGAAAACCAAAGCAAAATATCCAAGAGACAAAACTAAATGCCAACAGCAAAGGAAAACGTTAGGAAGTTGTACCTTAAAGAACCCAGCTTCAGGCCCACACATGTCATACACATTCCTGGATTTACCTATGGCCATGATGATACCTTGCATGTTCGGGGTCATCATGACCTGCCACAAAGGATTTCAGTTTTAATGATCATCATATTGTTCAACAGTGCCACAGAGTACAGGCATGCAAACATAAGATTTCTATTGCTAAGCAGGTCACCACATGCATGTGCCACAGTGCGTGTGCTAGCAGTACATCGGAGCGGGTTATTAAATGAAATGAAGTGTGGGATGTGAGGCTGCGATTGCCTGCAAACATAACAATGGTGGCTTAACAGGTAGAAGACGACATTCGGCAGCGGAACGTTAGAACCCAGGCACCACCAGTAAACACTAAAAATAGAACATATAAAAGGGGAAGGAAGGTTCATAAAGTATACAATATATAGCATAAGAGATATATATCATGGTTGGTCCCCTATTATTAGTTATAACAGAACCAGAGTTTTTCCCCATAAGGAGATCCCACCATAATTTCAAAATCTTCAACAAAATGTAGTAAAAAATATATATTTATTTATGTAACAAGGGTAAACTGTTGGTGAGGGACACATGAAGGAGTTCTCAAAGGAGTTGAAAAAGGTGTTGGAAGGGCGTTTGTGAAACAGAAGAGTTGTGGAATAGGTGGGGTGGGGGCACATTTGCTCAGAGATAGGCTTTTGGCTAAAGGTAAATACTTTCGGGGTCAAAAGCAAATCAAATACAGCTACTAGAACACATGTTTTTAGAGAACAATAGATTAGAGAGGAGATACACTGGTAAAGTGTTTATTCTGCCTTCCCAATGGCTTCCATAACTGAAAAAGGAGGATGAAACACAGGAGTGGGTTCACCATTGCGTGTGAGGTAGATATGGGGGGAAATATTGTTTTTGTCAGTAAAGTTGTTAAAAAAAAAAAAGAAAAAAGTTGTGCATGGCTGAATTCCAGTTTGGCCAATATGCAGACGAAATACTACACATTGTGTAGTCCCAGTGGGAGCATGCTTCTACGGTGAGAACACTGCTCCGGAATAGACACACAGTAAGGGAGGGTAGTCACCCCTATAGTGCCTTGCCGGTGGGACCCCCCAGTGAAAAAAAGAACAAGAAAAAGCCTGCACTACAAACACAGCGTTCCTTAACATATATGAAAGAGGGTAAGCCATTTAGAGATTTTTTTTACATTTATGTACATCTTAAGATTCTTCCATTCACTTGTACACAAACCCAAAACGTACCCCCATGAGAAGGTTCCCCAGGAACACCCCCCACTTATCTTTTTCTTTCCAACATACACATCCACTGGGATACGAATGTCAAATACATTCTTCATACAGCTCATCTTATTTTGTGCCCTCCCCTGTAAAATCACAGTCTGCGCCACTATACCGAACCTGGAACTAATCTCACATGACAATCAGGCTCACTTACACACAATGAAGGAAAACATAACCAAGGAGAAGAAAAAAAAAAAAACTGCTTTCATTTTCACAGCAGCACCACAAAGCTCAGACTGGGAGGACTGGTATCCAATCAGGTATGCAGCAGTGCTCAGGTACTAACAAGTACCAAGCTAATTTGGGGTCTGCAACTTTGATGGCTATTTGCAGATGAGGGAGAAGGGCCAAACAGATGCTCTAAACAAGCATTTTGGTTAAGGGGTTGGTTTAAGGTCAAAGGTTAGCTTTAGGAATTGATTAAGCTGTAGATCAAGATTAGGTTAAAGAGTTGGGCTAAGATTGTTAGGTTTAGGGGTGTGAAACGTGTGTCCTGAAATATCACATTATAAGAGGCAATGCCACAAAATGACACTCCAAATACAATACTGTTCCCAATGGTTTTTTATCTACAAATATATTAATGCCTTAAAGCCCATTTTCACCTTTGCAGAGGTATTTTTTTTTTAAACATATGCCAGCAAATGTACACCAAAGTATACATGAAGCAAGCATATGCAGTTGATGTATATGAAGACAGAAACTTACATTTGTTGTTAGCTTTCCTCTTCGTATCTGCATGGAAATTTCTGCCTCTGTGAAAATATTCCCCACCCCTCCTGGACAGTGTATTGTGTGTAAAGGCAGAGCTGTTTACTGATCATTTACAATGGGTGACAGAAAAGGGGGCAGCTGATTACAGTCTGACACCCTGGTGTCCGACTGAATTTCATTCATTTTTAGGCTTCCGGCCTAAAAAACCCTTTATTAAAAAATATGAAGAAAGTTTGCAATGCGAGTCATGAAAATGTGCACATGTATACATCATCACTGCACCTCTTCATTGCCACAATAAATGCAAAACATCTTTCGCAAAGGTGAAAATTGACTTTAAGCTGCATGTAGTGCAAGCTGTAGCCTGTGAGAACACCTAAAGAGCTCCTTCAGACCCAAATCATACGTCTGTGTAAAAATTCATGCAAATGATTTTCATAATAACTGTGAAATTGTACATAAAAACACAGCTGTATCCTCTTGCAAGAAAAACACAACTAATATCCTTTTTCTGTCTGCTACATGTACTATTGCCATTTAAAATAACGTATTAAAAAGAAAAACTATACACAGCTAGGTGTGGATGGAATATTCTGGACAACTTTATAACATTGATTTTTAATATCTACCGACACCTTTGCTGCTTAGAGTATGACAGTCCCCCATCCATTGTACGTTTGATACCATCACCACTAAGCCAGCACACTTAACACCATGAAACAGTGTTATGATGCTGGCTGTTATTGCCATCATGGTCTTTATATATATATATATATATTAGTTAGCCTAAAAAAACTAGAAGGATGATTGCCAGAAACACTGATCTGGCTGTGATCTGGCTGGTCATAAAAGGAATCTCTGTCCACCAGACAAGTCCCAGGGGGCAGGTAGCAAATGCTCCTTACTTTTGAGGCTTACTCTAGTTGTTGTCAATGGAGTTGGGGGGAAAATAAATCCTGCTGGCTCCTGGATTCCAAAAAATTTGTCAACTTTTCTTAAAAGGTTACATTTAGGAATTAGGTTAAAAGTTACACTACATACTTTACCCTACCATCAGTACATACTTCACATCGTTTTGCTCTCCCTCGGCTTTGTCTGGCCTCCAAGGCCCCCCCCCCCAAAAAGTGTACCTATTGCTTCTACTTATGGGGAAATACGTGACAGCGCTGATGCTCGGCATATAGCCACACAGGTACACAGCACTGCCCCATGGGGCAAGAAGTGAGCTCTCAGCTTTACGTGCAGTTTACACAACGTTGCCTGTGGAGCAGCAAGGGAGTAAAGGCAAGTATAAGCTGCTGGTGAATGCCATTAAATGGAATCTGTTGCTTTAAACAACATGAGCAAAGCATCAGATAGATCTTCCTTAGATCGGCAAAGATGATCCATTAGACAGGTGCATGCACAAAAGACATTTACCAGATTACTTCCATGGACAATCTAACTGGTGTGTGGCATACTGCTCATAACACAATATTAGCATCACATACATACTGGCACCATTGTGTTCATGCCAATGCTATTATTTTTGTGTGCTGAAAGTTTTGTCACCGATACTACATTTCACCAAACATCCATGCCAATTTTGATGAGGCAAAAACCAAAGTACCATCCATTAGTAAGTTTAGCTTGCGGTAATCTGTCTCTCCACCTCTCTCACATGGTCATAGTTAGAGTGAAATTAAAGTCTAAAATGTCCCCCCCCCCCATGTTGGTGTAAGGACTTACCTTAAATGATGCCTCTTCATCTGATCATCTTCTTCTTTCCTGTAGTTTTCAGGAGTCCCTCCAGCGCTGACTCCTGTCTCACGGAGTCTGTGCGCATGCACGCTGCCTCCATTGACTTACCGTGTGCCTCTCCTCGTCTCCCGGCCGAACATCTCTACTGCGCATACGCCCGCCCCATGATCCTTTGCGGCCCTCCGAAATTCTTCAGAACCTCTGGCAGGAGCGCGTGGCGGACACAGCCAAGTTTAAACCCCTTTAACTTAGCTAGCAGTAGATATATACAAGAAAAACTGGAGGCTTTAATGATCCTTTAAGCTATTACTCCCTTAAGCTGGATAACACAATTGTTAATTCTACATTGTGACGAATCCTTCAGATAGCCCAACATTGGAAAGTTTGACATCATCAGGATCTGAAAGCCAGATGGACGAAGCAGCTGGGCACAACTGTGAATACTGGTGAGCTATATTTTACCAGTTAAGTCTCCCATAGAAAAACTAAAAGGCAATTCATCTTGCTACCGACCACCCAAAAACAATAGTCATTTTAGGTGGAATTGGCTTTAAATGACCCCCCCCCCCCAGACGTTAACCCCCCATGGATTTTAGATATGGAAACGCGTTACAACAGTGAAGTGTGTGAAAAAGATAGAAACATCACTAAAGCAACTGTAAAGGCAAAATAAAAACAGCAAGCAGACTCACTGATTGGCTATCGTCTAAAGGTAGTGAAGATCTTCCTTTTCTAATATTTTCACCAAGAGAAAAAAAAGGGTTAAGCCAAGTGTTAGGCATCATCTTCCCAAGCAGAATCAGCCATCTCCTATGAAGCATGCATACAACTTTCTTGGATGGTTGGAGTAAAGTGAAGGTGTTTTATTAAGTTTCATTGGCATGCCACAGTGGAACAGTCAGGCAGCAAAACAAAAAGCTCCGGGGGGAGGAATAGATGGCACAAGGGAGGGATGCTCAGCAGCCAGAATGGTAAAAAATCAAAATGGTACCTCATCGTCATAACCCCCCTCCTCTGACTCTATAACAAAAGTCCCTACGTGGGGGATCGCCACCTCCACAACACGCTGGCTGGGAGCTGCTGGCACTGTGGTGTTATCAGTGGGCTGCAGGAAAAAGAGATGATGGGAATACATTAGCTAGATGACCATTGGAGAGCAGTGCACCTTCCCACAGTGTAAAAAAATAACAACCGTACAGATTTTGTATTATTATTATTCTAATACTATCATTTTTATTTTCTCTGTATGGTGCATTACGAGAACCTACACAAACCGGGTGTAGCTGGAGTAACTCATAGCACTGTTCTTCCCTCTGAAGCTGTAGTTGTAAAGTTCCCTTGCCAATCTCCTCTGATCTCTGCTCACTGAGCTTCAAGGCGTTGTGACTTTAGTAAGGGATTTTCTGACCCAATGACTGGCATGGAACAGCAGCGAGGAGAAGAGAAGGACAGTGTAACTTCACATTGTGGCCTGTAGGGATGCACCGATACTAGTATCGATATCGGTGCTGGTGGCGATACCAAGTATTTGGGCAAGTATTCGTACTCGCCCAAATGCTCCCGATAGTTATCCCGATACCGGAACTTCGGACGGCGGGGAATGACTCGCCCCCCGGCTTCCTGACCAGCCAGGAAGCCAGCATGGAGCCTGCTTTCTGGCTAATCAGGAAGCCGGGATGGGGAGATAGTCATTACCCCCCGCCCAGCTTCCTTAATGGGCCTTCCGGTATCGGTGAGTAGAGAAAACAAAGATATTGGTACTAGTACTGAATACCGAAAGGCCGGTATTGGTGCATCCCTAGTGGCCTGTGATATATAAAGACAAAAGGGTCAAATCACAAAAGGTAGTACACCAGGATAAGGACTTATTTTCATACAAAATTACAATTTTCTGCTGAGACCAATAAGGTTTAAAAATTATAGTTACACGGCTAAAATAAAGATACTTTTTCTTGTGTTAAAGCTTTGTAAATTTAACTTAATAAAAAAATGCACAGGTGTGTTATCTGAAAAGGTAGGTGATGCTATAATTTTTGGTTTATTATTATTTATAATAAGATATGGATATAATTGTAGGATAGAACAGTTTTATTATGTTATGTAGTAAAAGGGCTGTCTTCATATTATGCAGTTACATACATTTTTGAGGCACAATGCTGAATGCATTTAAGAACAATTCCATGCAGTTTATATGGACTTCTTTGTTCATTCATTCATTCATTTGGCTAAGTCACAGAAGAACATTCAAAATAGGGTTTATCCAGGTAAAGATGAGCCAATACAAAAAAACGCATCACATAGCTGTGAGCACAACTGCAGCACAGAGCAGTGAACTAACCTCATGGGGGTGCCAAGTATCCCCACGAAAACACTTATTTTTATCTCAGCTTCTCCCTGAAGTGTACATATGTTTCCCATACTCTCTAAAGGAATACTTTTGATTTCCAAAGAGCCCCTTTGAAAGTCTAAACATAACTAATCCGGAGTGCACGATATTTGAGTTAGCACTTAATAAACTTTTAAAACTGATATACCAACAGTCAGGAAATTCAGTGAGCAGTATTGCCCAGAATAATTCACCTAACACTAGCAGATAATAAGAGAATATTAGTCAGATATTAGTGATTGGTGTTTCCTATGACTCTTTCCAAGGAACGCATCAGCTGTCATATGCTCATAGACGGTCAATGACAATGGGCGACTTTTTACTCTTCCACACATTATGGAAAATATAGGAGGTTAGGCTATTTACATAGCAAATGCTTCCTGAGCCACATAAAGTGGCTGCAAAAAATGTAAAATCAATTCACACACATAAATATGTTGTTTGAAATGCTGTTTTTAGTTCATTGGTATACGAAGCTATCCCTACAAACAGTGGCGTCACAAAGGGCATACCTCATCCCGCCGGGTGAACATCCCCTCCTCTCTCTGCCGGCATCCATCACCAAGATGGCCGCCGGCAGGAGTCAATAAGATGACCGCACATGCGCGATGATGTCACTGCAGGGTGTCACCTGGTCTCTGCTCCGGGTGACACCCTGCCTCGGGACGCCCCTGCCTACAAACACGATTTCTCTAGATGAAATGACTGAATTTTAAATGAGGTTGGAGCCAAAAACCGTGCTCGATTCTCTAATCATCTTTCAGCTAAACAAAAATCATGTTTTGAAAGCAAAACTATTTTTAACATCCAGATATAAAACTAATGAGTTACCCTCTTCTGGTATGGAAGGAGCCGAGTTGTGCCATGGAGATAACAGTTTTCTTACATCAAGGAGGTTTACATTTTCATTTAAAGCTATTACAATGATCAGACTTAACCAATGAGACTGATTTTAGCTGTCGCTAAGCCAGACTGGGTTTCTTTATTTTGTTGCCGCATGTAGGGCTGTACAAAACAACCATCCTCAGTGGTTCCAGATGGTTAGTGTGCGCGCATGTGGGCTGAAAGTGATTGCTTGGGATCCAGATGCACTGCTCAGGTATACAATGGCTAAGCCTTTTACACATGCTGCCTAACAGAGCCTTGACAACCTGAAGACAGGTCAAGTGATACTGAAATAGGTCTGGTCAGTTTAAAGACCAACCCAACTCAAAAAAGGTTAATTTAACTATAATTGGATTCCTATACGAGTCCCCTCCCAAGACCATAATGGTGTCACAACTAAAAAAAATCCATAAGGCAGAAGCACGAGACTATCACCTGATACGTGAGCTGACAGCAGTTGGGTGGAACTGGGATTTCTGTTAAGGATGTCTTGCTGTTGCAGCAGACACAAAATAAAGCCAACATGCAATTCAAATTTGCAACATCCACTCAAAACAGCAAAATTAGTATTTGATGCTACTGGCCTTTGCAGCCTGTGATGAACCCTTCGGACTGGCACATCAACCACTGACTCCTCAATTAAAGCTACCTATGCAAAGATGGTGTTTAAGTCAACATAAAATGATGGATATTCTAACCTTTTGCAGGACTGCCTCTGGACCTTTGTCTTCAGACTCCGTAGCTGCCTGGCTGATGACACTCGTGGTTTCTTCTGTGGTCTCTTCAGGCAGCTCCGCTCTTGTGGGCTGATCCAAGTACTCCGGTTCTTTTACAGGAGCTGTGTGGACAGAGAGGAAAAACATCAAAGAAAAAAAGAGAAGGCAGAAGGGATGAACACTAAACATCAATGCACCACATCATATATATTTTTTTTTAAATACCCCAAAACATTAACAAGTAATTGTTGGGTGCAATTAAGAACACTTATATGAAAAAAAAATATTGTTTTTTGAAGCCACAATGAAGGAGTGGAGCTTAGCAGCTCAAGATTTATCTTTGGAATAAACTTCCAGAGTTGAATACTACAGTGTGGTGCTTTAAATAGATGTCTGTTCATCTTCATCACTAGTCAAGGTGACCGTGGAAATACTTTGGGCTTTAGACACTGCCATTCCAATATCCAGACCACCTACCCAGATCATACCAACATCATACCATTGGATGACATTTCATGTTAATACATGTCAACACCGAGTTTATTCCACTTTGTGTATATCAAGGGCTTCAAAAATACAACTGTACACTGTTATAAACTAGGGCTGCAACAACTAATAGACATAATCGATTATAATCGATGATTGAAAAAGTTGTCAACTTTTTCAATCATCGATTAATCGGCTTTTGATTGGTTGGCCCTGTTCACGGCTCCACATATGCTACGCGCCACACCTCCTCCTCACCTCTGCCAGACCCGCCCGGCCGCATCCGCGCTCCACACGCCGCACCTCCTCCCCGCCTCACGCTCACCACCCGCCCACATCCACGATCGGCACAGGGACGCAGGGAGAAGAAGTAATGAGGAGGTGTGGGAGGGCGGATGACCGCCACCGATAGACAGGCCCGATCTCAGAAACAAGTTGCTGGAAGACTGCTGAGGTAAGCTTGCACTTTCCCACACATGGTGCTCTATAATGTATTGCTGGGATAGTGGGATTTGTAGTCCTCTATAGCTGATGGTACATTGCATTTTACTGTATATTACACAGAGCAATGTACAATCAGCTATAGAGGAATACAAATCCCAGCAATACATTATACACTGTATGTATAATGTATTGCTGGGATTTGTTGTATTTCTATATAGCTGGTGGTATTCTGCATTGGGCTGTATAGAGGTCTACAAATCAAGGAATAATACATTATACAGCGCAATGCGGAATACCACCAGCTATAGAGGAGTACAACAAATCCCAGCAATAATACATTATACAGTGGTGCAATGCCGAATACCACTAGCTATAGTGGACAACAAAACCCAGCAATAGTACATTATACAGTGCAATGCCGAATACAGCCAGCTATAATGTACCATTGCTGGGATTTGTTGTATTCCTCTATAGCTGGTGGTATTCTGCATTGTGCTGTATAATGTACTATTGCTGGGTTTTGTAGTCCTCTATAACCGATGCCATTCTTCATCATTGCTGTATAATTTTACACTTTCCATTGCACTATATTGCACACCACACTTTTTTTTCTTTTCTTTTTTACTTCCACCGCTCCAAGCTTGCTCCTGTGATGGACTGCAATCTTAATACAAACTAGTAGTCCATCCCTGGAGCCATTTTTTAAAATGTATTTTATTTTGCATCCGATTAATCGAACGTAATAATCGGCTAACTAATCGATTTTGAAAATAATCGTTAGCTGCAGCACTATTATAAACCCTTGAAAGATATGAATCAAATATTCAGAAAAGCTGAAACCTAAAAACTTAGGACATTTCCATGGCAAAAATGTAGGAACATCTCAGCAAGATCTGGGACTTTTTCTAGAAATCAGTTATGAACAAATACATGTACATCCATACGGACACAAACACATATCTATAATACAAATATAAACATGTGTGTGTGTGTGTGTGTGTGTGTGTGTGTGTGTGTGTGTGTGTGTATATATAATAAAGACATCTGCAATACCAGACACGGAAGCTGGAGGCGGCTTTATGGTTTTCTGGGAAATCAGCATTTTCTCTTGTTCGGCTTTCCTGAGCTGCTCCTTGTCCCATTCTTCAAGCTCCTTTTCAAACCGTCTGTTGTCTTCTTTGACAAAATCCTTTAAATCGGGAGGTAAGGTGTCCATCCCAGACAGCACCTGACCTGTTTCCTTGTCATATTCCTCTGGAAAGACAGAATGATAATGTGTAAACATTGCTTAAGTGCGTCATTAAGGTAAAAAATAAATAACCCTTTCTAGAGATGGGGAAAAAACTGAATATTTTGGCCAGAGAGCTAGCAGCAGATCCTTTGCACAGCCGCTAGCTTTCAAACCAAGCTGTTAATGACAGCTCAGGTCCCCACCAATGATCGGCAACCAATTGAGAGTGGAAGAAATGAACTTTGTCTTCTCTCTAATTCACTGTGCCTACATTTCACAGAGCTCCTGACATGTGTGAAGGGTAGTTCTGCTTCCAGAAGCCAGAATTGTGGAATTTACTCTGCTTCTTGCATTATCAGATTCAAAAGTACACAACTGTTTTGAAATCAGTGTGCATCTTGGTGCGTATGGACCGATAGCACCCTATCACACTTTAATGTTTCTACCCACCCCTTTGATTTGTAGGTGTCTGATTAGGCAACTCAACTGACATCTCTGATGCGGATACATTAGTCTTCCCATATGTGATAGACAACAAACACAGTGCAAGTTTTCTACATTACAAATAGGTAAGCAGAAGAGGTTCCAAGGTTACCAGAATAATGGATCCCAGGTCTACAGACTGGTATACTGCATCAATGACTGATAAGAACAACATGTCCTGAGCAGGTAAGCTCCGGTGCTTTTATTAATTTCAATGAGCAATTTTTAATTTTGTCTGGAGTTATTTACCTTGTATTAGGTGCTGTTCATGCTCGTTTATATACATTAAACAGTAGGCGCTGGCATTTCTGTACCCTCCAAAGGAATCCCGTTCTAGCTCTTCCCATGAAGACTTAGTGACAGAGATGTCATTGTATTTCATCCACCTCTTCTCATTGTGGTCAAATATATATGCCCAGTAGTGTCCTGCGTTAGCTTGGCCCTCGTGGACCAACACTGCGTGTAACCTGTATGGAACCTGAAATGAAAGTGCAAAAAAATGTATGTAAATGTATGGGTGACCATCGATGGCTGGATTCACCCTCCAATTCAACAGATTCAGCTAGCAGGTTGAAACTGGTCTGCTACCCTATGGCTCATAACAGTTGCCTCTGAGCATCACTCACTACTGCACAGAGATTTTCCAAGTTCTTGTCATAGAGAAGAGGAAGGAAACAATTCATGATTTTGGCTGTCCTGTATTATTATGCCCACACAGTGTCTCTGTTAGGTTATATTAGAGAATGATCATATTCCTATTCTCTGGGCAGGATATAATTCAGTACATAAACAGAATCGCACATACTTGTGTCATCAGCTTGTCAGAGTACATGAGCTCTATCGTCCGGTGTATTCTTCCGATACTGTCCTGTAGGTCTGGAAAAAAGAAAGTGTCTTAATTGCAATCACATAAAACACACATGACACCAGCACACCTACATGCTCACCCTGAGCCTTCATCTGCCACAAGAAGACATTCAGAGCCATCAGAGAACCCTTGAACCCAGGAAAGGGGCATACCAATAGCTTTGAATGTCTTATGGTGGCAAATAAAGGCTGGTCATGAGGATTAAGGTGTGCAAGTGACAATCACCATTTATTGGCTACAACTAAGGATGCCCCGATACCGGGATTTCGGTATCGAGTACCAATAATTTTTTTTCTGGTACTCGCCGATGCCGAATACCGAGTACCAGAAGTCCCATTCAGGAAGCCAGACGGCATGTAATGACTCACCACCCGGCTTCCTGATTAGCCGGGCAGCATGGAAAGACTCGCCACCCGGCTTCCCAATATGCAGGGAAGCCGTCTCCATGCTTCTCGTCACTAGGTGACGAGAAAGCATGGAGCTGGCTTTCTGGCCAATCAGGAAGCCAGGCAGCGCGTCATTACACGCTGCCCGGCTTCCTGATTGGTCGGGAAGCCGGCTCCATGCTCTCTCGTCACACGTGACGAGAGAGCACGGAGCCGGCTTCCCGGTCAGTCAGGAAGCCGGGCAGCGTGTAAGGACGTGCTGCCCGGCTTCCTGATACCGGAAGTATCGGGCTAGGCATCGAGTACTCGCCCAAATACTCGACATCGATACTAGTATCAGTGCATCCCGAGCTACAACAACGCCATGCATTGGAAGTAACAGCAGAACTAGCCTTTTCAAAGGGTTTGAATGCCATTTGACGAGCATCTGTACAATGACTCACAATTACATGACCTGAATATGATTTGGTGCCTGCCTCCTGCAATCCACTGTACAGTGCAGCACTGACTACGCTGATGGTATGCCAACAAGAGACATGCTGACAGAAAGAGAAAGCAAATGGACAGAGAGATAACCTCGTTAGTCTGCTGCTTGTATTGCACTGTCCAGTCACAGGCTGGATTAAAGACAAGACCTGTGCTACTTAACTGCAGCAAAGAATAATTGGGTCTCCTGCCCAGCTAGAGAGGGCTGTAATGTGTGGCAGAACTGTGTCAGTCTCAGGATTGTATGGACAAAAATACAAACCCTTTGACAGGTAAAACAGCTCTCATATCTGTATCTTGTGTGTGTATTTAGTGGTCTGCCTGAAGCTACGATATTTTTATCGACTTTTCTACAACAATTTAAACATAAATGTGTGAGTCAGAGTGCACACTCTTGTTAAAGGGTTAAAGATGTGTATACATTTGCCCCATGGTGTTGTGCAGAGCGTACACATGATTCACTAATATGTAACACCTCATGAAAGCTAAACGCCCGCTGCACCTCAGCGTTAACTTATACCAATTTTACATAAAAACAGTAATTTCTCAATGAATCAGGCAAGTGTTGTCTGAGACAGATATGCTGCAATGGGAGGATAAATTAATCGGATTCGATGCTATGGGGACAGTGAAACAGTTGTAGGCAAATTACCTCTTAGAAACCTGGAAAATCATAATTCCCTGAGGGAGCGGGGATCAGGTGAGTAAAACTGCTTTTCCGGATACCGGAGACCTAAACAAGCATTACTTGCAGTGGAGGGGGGGGGGCTGCCCCAATGCAAAGGGAGTTTTGTGTCTTCAGGGGAGACAGGCTTTAAGCAAAAATTCCCTGTAACTACACACCTCTAGTATCGGTTTCCACCTCCGTCCTCCAGCGGTGTAAACACCCTTCTAATACTGTCAGCTCCTCATCCGTAATATGGCGCGGTGCTGGGTGCATAGGTAAATCTGGAGGTATTCTGGACTGGGTGAATGGTTTGTGAATGACGGAACGCTGGTTGGACTGAGGCTCGCTGGATGAAGAAGGCCCCTGATGTTCCATTGTGCTAGAATTAAGAAAATATCGATTAATGACCATCTATCATGTAGCAATACACAAATCTGGAGGATGCAAGGCCTATGGTTCTACCTTGTCATTTCAGGTTGATGGAGCCTTAAGCTGAATATAAAAGATTAGAATTTTGTTTGACAAAAAGGAAATTCGATTAGTTAATGGGATTAAACTGACGATTGATTTTGATGGCAATGACAAGCAAAAAAAATGTAATTAAAGAAGCAAGATGGAAACTTTTTCTCAATAAACTAAATTCTAACAGTGGCTATGGATTTTCATTCGATAAAGTACAAAAACGAATGTTAAAATCAAACGATATGTCAAACGACATCGTCAAATCTTTGCTGGCATTATTGAATGCTCCGATGAGATTTGCCTTATGAATGTTCATGCGAAAAACTACCGTTTGTAAACCCAGCTCAGCAAAAGGTTGTCTGCAATGTTATTCTTTGGAACTACTTAACAGGAATTCCAGTTCATGTAGAAAAAATATGTCTGTGCAAAATCATCAATATCTTATACAGATATTCTTAAATCCCTATACTGTCTCCATAGGTTATTAATGACTAGATTACATAGATTTGTAAATAACTTTACTGCCTATTTAAAACTCACAAATAAGACCGGGTACACAGATCTATACTTCTGGGGCATGTCCACTTTTGCAGTCAAATTTGAGAAAACCCCACTATGTGTTCCCATTCACACAGCACACCTAGAAATAATCTTTAGATGCATCTCTGTAGCAGGCCTTTGGGCAGACTGAAGCTTCTCTTTACAATTTCAAAAGGAGAGCTTCGCCTCATTAACATACAATGCTTCTAGATCTTTAACCCTTTGTTAGGGCAGACGGTGTTCAAATCTAGTGTGCTTCTGATAAGATCTGCCAGCACTGTACAGACAGGGTTATTATTATAATACAGGATTTATAAAGTGCCAACAGTTTGCGCAGCACTTGTATGATAAATATCCCAGCCCCCCCTGCATTCCAGATTAAATTTCAGTTTAGAGAAAACTAGTAATATGAGGAAAAAAAAATTTTTTATTCATTTTTTAACTTACTCTATGTGAATGGGAACATGTAAGAAATATAAAATAGGTGTTAACCTACTTTGGCTGCAAAAGTGGAAATACATATAAAGTTTATTTTTCTAGTGTGGAAACCTTGAGTGCTGATCTTACCTTTGCATGGGTTGTGTGATCAAGGAACCACTAGGTGGAGCACTGGTATCGATATCCTCCACAGGGGAAGTGCAGACAGGTTTGCTGGATGCAAACTCCAGAGCATATTGTAACACATCAGCCAGAGGGAACCGTTTGGGGCCAGAACCATAACTTAAATACCTGAAAAATTAAAATACATGAACATAAAGAAAAAGTTATTCAACAGTGTCCTTAAAAAAAAAAGTGCCGCTCTGTCATATGGCCCAAAACCCACACCTGGATGACCTTTTACATGAATTACAGAAACGATAAGAATATCATTCAGGCTCATGCAGCCAATTTAGGTGAGTAACTGTAAGGGGGAACGCCCGTTTTTTTAAGCGCAATCGAGCGCAAAAGCCTCTACAGAAAATTTGATAAGAATATAAGAAAGCAAACCAAATGATTACAGAATGATTACTATTATTAAATACAGGATTTATATAGCACCAACATTGTGTGCAGTGCCTTACAAAATAAAGATCCAAAGTGATATCCCACCGCACTGCTTGCTGGAAAACCCCTTCAAAATGGGTGCTGAAGTGACTGCTGATGGCGCAGCTGAAGATTCAAAGAGTAGCAAGATCTCACCAGCACAGTGCAAATATGTGTCCAAACAAACATCTTTTTATTGACGTTGACGCATATTGTCACAAAGATAGCGCCGCTTCGAGGCCATGCAGGGTCTCCATCAGGCTCAGTGTGACATCAATAAGGCCTTGTTCACACCGAAAGCGTGTGCGTTAAAGAGCGGTAGCTGCTGGAACGCGACGCGATCGCTGAGAAACTTCCCCTTTGCCCTATTTTTTGAGTTTGCAGTGGAACGGAACGCTGGCAAAGTTTTGCCACGCGTTTTTTTTGCACTGCGGGAGGGGGGCGTGTGGAAGTGGTGCCATTGAATTCAATGCACCGCCAAGCCTCCTCCCGCCCCAAAACGCGGGGGGAAGTTTCTCAGCGATCGCGGTGCGTTTCAGCAGCTACCGCTCTGGAACGCACACGCTTTCTGTGTGAACAAGCCCTAAAAAGACATTTGTTTGGACACATATTTCGGGTGTGCTGGTGACATCTTGCTACTCTTACAAAATAAAAGGGAGACATTACAGTTTCAAGACGATTCAAAACAAGAGGGATAGGAGGGCCCTGCTCATGAGAGCTTACAATGTTGATACAATAGTAAAGATAATGTTTTGTCTAATCAATGTTTCTTTCAGATATGCGCTTAAGAAAGAACATGTAAAAACACGGTACTATAAATGTAAGTCATGTGTGCAAATATTTTACATTTTGTTTTTAATGTTACATGACCAGATACCATTGGATTCAAGAGAAATGTACTGTACCTTTCTAGCCGCTGCTGTAAAACTGTTAGGTGCTCTTTGAGTCTTTTGATCTCGTCTCGTTTGAGCCTGGTAATCTCCCTGTTTTTGTCTATATACCTAAAAATAAAAAAAATACAATTTCACAATGTAGAAATGGTGAAAGGTGGAGACCAAATTGAAAAATCAACAAATCCCCAGTTTAGATGGGCAGCAATTCCAAGCAAGCATTTGTAAAGAAATGACTATGCAATATCATAGACAATAACAGAAAAGGAACAGCTGAACATTGGCTGCCATTTTGGCTACCTGGCTTCTTAGATTTGTCCAGCCCTGCAAGATCACCATGTCTGGTCTAGAACATTGAATCTCTGGCCCTGAAGACCAAGTAACACTGCATTTTCGCCCCACTACCAGATAAGGCTACATTAGTTGGTAATTTGTTGAGAACACATATTATCTCACCTCAACTTCCTGAACAGAACACAAAAATAAGACTACAGGGACATGAATTAAGTCTGACTGTCCTAGATCACAATGGCCAAGAGCCAGGATCTCCCAAACCATGGCTTTGCTAGAATATTTTTTGATAGATACATAGTGACAATATTTTGTTAAAGACACATATCTACCATCTTCAACCATGTTAAAGCCATGATATCCTCCATACAACACAACACCACGGAATGGCCCAGTTGAAGCATAAACACTATATTGCCAAAAGTATTGGGGCGCCTGCCTTTGCACACACATGAACTTTAATGGCATCCCAGTCTTAGTCCGTAGGGTTCAATATTGAGTTGGCCCACCCATTGCCGCTATAACAGCTTCAACTCTTCTGTGAAGGTGTCCACAAGGTTTAGGAGTGTGTCCAAGAATGTTTGACCATTTTTCTAGAAGTGCATTTGTGAGGTCAGGTACTGATGTTGGACGAGAAGGCCGGGCTCGCAGTCTCCGCTCTAATTCATCCCAAAGGTGTTCCATCATGTTGAGGTCAGGACTCTGTGCAGGCCAGTCACGATTCTCCACCCCAAATTCGCTCATCCATGTCTTTATGGACCTTGCTTTGTGCACTGGTGCACAGTCATGTTGGAAGAGGAAGGGGACATCCCCAAACTGTTCCCACAAAGTTGGGAGCATGAAATTGTCCAAAATGTCTTGGTATGCTGATGCCTTATGAGTTCCCTACACTGGAACTAAGGGGCCAATCCCAACCCCTGGGAAAAACAACCCCACACCATAATCCCCCCTCCACCAAACTGTACACTTGGCACAATGCAGTCAGGCAAGTACCGTTCTCCTTGCAAACACCAAACCCAGACACATCCATCGGATTGCCAGACAGAGAAGCGTGATTCGTCACTCCAGAGAACACGTCTCCACTTCTCTAGAGTCCAGTGGTGGCGTGCTTTACACCACTGCATCCAATGCTTTGCATTGCACTTGGTGATGTAAGGCTTGGATGCAGCTGCTCGGGCCATGGAAACCCATTCCATGAAGCTCTCTATGCACTGTTGTTGTGCCAATCTGAAGGCCACACGAAGTTTGGAGGTCTGTAACTATTGACCCTGCAGACAGTTGGCGACTTCTGCACACTGTGTGCTTCAGCATGCGCTGACCCCGCTCTGTCATTTTACGTGGCCTACAACTTCGTGGCTGAGTTGCTGTTGTTCCCAGTTGCTTCCACTTTGTTATAATACCACTAACAGGTGACCGTGAAATATTTAGTAGCAAGGAAATTTCAACGATGGACTTTTTTGCACATGTGGTAACCTATCACGGTACCACGCTTGAATTCACTGAGCTCCTGAGAGCGACCCATTCTGTCACAAATGTTTGTAGAAGCAGTCTGCATGCCTAGGTGCTTGATGTTATACACATGTGGCCATGGAGGTGATTGGAACACCTGAATCCAATGATTTGGAGGGGGTGCCTCAATACGTTCCGCAATATAGTGTATATGACAACAGTTCTATTTGGCCAAATGTTTGTAGTTCCATTCCACAACTCACTATGTGCCCAAAATGTTTCATCACTATTCCGAAACTAGCTCCTCAGTTTGCGGTGTCCCCTGTCTGACTGCAGTCTGATCATTAGAACAAGCTGGCAAAGTCCTCCAAGTTTCCTCTCCTCTTGTAAGGTGCTTGATCACCTCCAAGTGCAACTTCAATACAGGTCAAATTGAAAGCCTTGTATAACTTAAAGCGGACCTTTACCCCCTTTCACTAAAAATCCCATCAGCATGCAGATATGCATACCGATTTAAAATCATCTTACATTCATTAAACAAACTTGTTTTTCATTTACTTACAAATACAGTTTATCTACTTCCTAGTTCAGTTCTGACACAAATAATTTAATCGTGCCCAAGCAGAGCATGGCTGGGAAATCTCATGAGCTCTCAGGGAAAGGTATTTTCCTCCCCGGAGATGATGTGTAGGGCTGCAACAACTAATCGACATAATCGATTATAATCGATTATTGAAAAAGTTGTCAACTTTTTCAATAATCGATTAATCGGCTTCCGATCAGTTGGCCCTGTTCACGGGTCCACAAACGCTGCGCGCCGCACCTCCTTCCCCAACTCACGCTCACCGCTGCCAGACCCGCCCGCATCCGCGCTCTACACGCCACACCTCCTTCCCGCCTCACACTCACCGCCCGCCCACATCCACGATTGGCACAGGGACGCGGGGAGATGTAGTAAGGAGGAGCAGGTGTGGGGGGATGACAGCCGCCGATAGACAGGTCCGATCTCAGAAGCAAGTTGCTGGAAGACTGCTCAGGTAAGCCTGCACTCCCCCCACCCACATGGTGCTCTATAATGTATTGCTGGGATTTGTATTCCTCTATAGCTGATGGTACATTGTGCTGTATATTATACATAGGAATACAAATCCCAGCAATACATTATACACTGTATGTATAATGTATTGCTGGGATTTGTTGTACTCCTCTATAGTTGGTGATATTCTGCGCTGTATAGAGGACTACAAATCCCAGCAATAATACATTATACAGTGGTGCAATGCCGAATACCACTAGCTATAGAGGACTACAAAACGCAGCAACAGTACATTATACAGCGCAACGCAGAATACCGCCAGCTATAATGTACTATTTCTGGGATTTGTTGTAGTCCTCTATAGCTGGTGATATTCTGCATTGCGCTGTATAATGTACTATTGCTGGGATTTGTAGTCCTCTATAGCCGCTGCCATTCTGCATTCATTGCTGTATAATTTTACACTTTCCATTTCACTATATTGCACACCACACCATTTTTTTACTTCCACCGGTCCAAGCTTGCTCCTGTGATGGACTACAACCTCAATACAAACTAGTAGTCCATCACTGGAGCCATTTTTTAAAATGTATTTTATTTATCCGATTAACCGATTAATCGAACTTAATAATCGGCTAACTAATCGATTTTGAAAATAATCGTTAGCTGCAGCTCTAATGATGTGCATTGTCACATGAACCAGATTTTCAGGAAGTAAAAGGGAGAGCTTTGTAATCTCTAATTAGTTAACATGGCCACTGTCAGAAGACTTGGGAAGAAAAGAGAAGATATGCAAAGAATACAAAGCTGGCAATTATCTAGAAGTATCTGTTTGTAGATTATCATTACTAAATATTTCCAAAGCTGTCTTTGTTTTTATTTCAAAGAGATGGGTAAAGTTCCTCTTGAATAGAGCAGAATTAGCTCTCATTTAGTATGACTTTATGTAGAATCTTGCAGGCAGCAAGATCCGATGTAAAATCCTGTCCGTAGACTCTACGCATGTAACATTTGTCCTAACATTTACATTCGTACATCATATGTACAAATGTGCCCTGATGCTATTCAGCTCCTTCTTGCCATCATTCACGGTTAGGATGCAGGCAGATATTCCGGTCTAACTTGTCAACTAAATAACGTGTAATCAAGCTGATTATATAGTATGTACATGTCGCCCACGAGCAGGCCAATAAAGGATAGAGTACAATATAGCAGAAACGTTTATATGCATGCAGCGTACAATACAATCCATATGTAGGATCTTAGACGCAGATTTCTCTATTTTTATTTTACAGATCTGAACGCAGATCAAGTATACTTATCTTTACACACTCTGTGCATGGGCCCATAGGAAACAATGCACCTGTGTTCAGACGATCTACTGATAAACACAGCTTTTTGACAGGGACCTTAAACTGATTTCTTATATGTAGGGAATTATGTGAAATTATATAAAAGATAGATGGGGTTCTTGTATTTCAAAATTATTATACAGTATTTATATAGCACCAACAGTTTGCGCAGCACTTTACAATATAAGGAAGACATTACAGTTACAATAAGATGACTTTTAGTTCCACTTTAAGCAACTCCTCCCCAGTGAAATCCTTACTTAGTAAGTCTCTATTCCTGAGGTCACCCTTGTGCCCCCGTGTCAATGAAGTTACACTTCTGTGCACCCATTGCACTTCCTAGGAATCCTTTAGCCCTCATTCACACTAAACATTTTGGAGAGCTTTTTCTGCATACAAAAAAATGCGGGGGGAAAGAAAATTCCCATTCATTTCTATGGCCATGGTTCACATCTACGCGTTTTATTACTTGCAGCAAGTTTGCCCACTTTCGTCAATGTGTCACAATCTGAATGCAAAAGCTTGCCACTTTATGTACGCAGAACGTGCTACACAAATGGCGCTGAAAACTTGCGAATTTGATGTTGTTCAGAGCTCATGTGCAATTGGCGGCTACAACTCAGCTGTATAATATAGATGAGAACATAAGGCTTGATATTGCTGCAAGTGAATCTCTCAATCGAAACTGATAATTTGCACAACATCCCAGAAACTGTATTACACAAGTAATGATTTGTCAACATAGCAGGAAAGCAAAACGCAAAGCCTTACTCATAGTAACCAGGTTCACGTGCAATAAAAAAGAAAAAGCTGAAATCTGAGTGGTTACCATGGACAGCACATATATTTACCTTTCCTCCTGCAAGCCATGCAACTTGAGGCCATTGAGCCAATAATAAACTTGGATACATTCATTGCAGTGATCACATCAAAAACATATGTTGTGGGTACTTACCTATCCATGTACAAACATGGTGGAAATTCTAGCTTGTTGTGGATTTTCTCAGGCCTTCCCAATGCTTGATTAAACTCAAACCTGGACAGCTCAAACGTCAGGACAGGTGGAAGTTCTGTGAACCAGTGCTGTCAAGAATGAAGCATACAAATTATACATTTTACCCCGACCTATAGTAAAAGCAAACATGCGTGCACATTATCTACACACAAGAGATTCTGACTATTCCATGAGTTGGCAAATGCTAGACTCTTACATCTTCGTAAGGGAATGTATGAGGCATAATACACGAGGGAACATATTTTTATTTTAGGATACATTACTAAGCAATGTCAGCTTTATGACATTATCATCAAAAATTACTTCCACGGTAGAAAAAATGCAATGTCTCAAATATGAGCTCACTATAAATACGCTAAGAAAACCGCAATTGCTAAAATATTTTCCAGTCTGGTTCATCGACATGCTGGTAATAGGCACTAGTTGAATGCAATCGTTCTATGTCCACACATAGTCTGACGCTTGTATGTTTGTATCGGACGGAATCATGCAGAAACTTACATTCATATATCGATAAATGTACCCGGTGACTCCAATTTCAATTCCTATGTTCCTCGGCTCCACCTAGTGGCAATAATGCCCTGCAAATGTCATCTGCCAAGCTATACTTTATAAATTAGTCCCTATGATTTCCTTTTCCTAAACTGGGAGAACAGCTATTAAGTGGTCCAGTATTTGTGCCCCCTTTAAAAGAGAACTATAGCCAAACAGGAGTACATTTACCCCAAATCCAAAAAAGTTGGGGTGCTGTGTAAAATCTACATGAAACAGAATGCAATGAATTACAAAAGCCGGAGTTCGGCAGTAGCGCTGCGCTTTTTTCATTTCGCCAAGTTAAGAATAAAGGACTTGTGAAAAACTGACTTGTTTTTTGTTCAATTAAAGGACCTTTTTCATGGTGTGGTGTATTTACTATTTTCTTTCTCTTTAGTGAATAGGTAGGGGTAACAACAACCCCTTACTTATTCACAAGGGGTGGCATCTGGGTGCCCCCTTTATGAAAAGGGGTACCCAGATGCAGATGAGCTCCCTGCCAAGATGTTGCATCGGCTGAGGCGAACGGGTTCTTCCCTGCGGTTCAGCCAAACATGCTGAGGCTGTTCGGCTGAGCCGAAGGCAGGTGAAGCAGGCCAAATGACCTGATGTATGGTTCAAACTAGCCATACGGGTCTTCAATTAATAGCAGAAGAGGCTTGGGCTCCCTTCACTTCAGCTCGGTTATTCATTTGGCTGCCTTTTGCAGCTTAGTGAGTAATCTTCTATGTTTTTTATTTTTTTACAGAAACATTTTATGGTTTAGGTTATGGTAGTTTTTTCAGCTTACTGGTTACTATGATTTAATCTAATAATATGAGTGGTACATAGCTTTCTACATAGACTTTTTTTTTCTGAAAGCACTGCAGAGAAGTTGACAGCATTTATCTTTTCCACCTGCATTGTGTAGGATTCAGGAACGGCCATGTATGCAGGTAGCAAGCCAAACAACTTTAGCAATTCCTGTACTGAGAGTGCTGAACAGATCAGCACAGGACTAACGAGAATCGCTCCTACACAAACCCTCCGCCTGATCGATTTTTTTAGTTCATGTTGTAAAATATAACATACAGCACAGTGTCAGCTGCTGGCCATCAAAGTGGGAACATAGATTAATGTTCCTTCAGCTTGGGCAACATCAATCTACAGATTGTGCAAAGAAAGCAGTTAGAAGGAAATCAAAAACCTGCTTTTCTGAAACTAGATTTATGAAAATGCTGACACTCCCAAAAGTGACAAACTAGCACAATGCAAATTAAAATTAAGAAAAAAACATGGTTTAAATGGCTGTTTATTGACCCGAGCCTAATGCTGGCTATATGTATGGCAATTAGGGCTGCAACAACTAATCGATTATAATCTATTGAAAAAGTTGTCAACTTTTTCAATAATCGATTAATCGGCTTCTGATCAGTTGGCCCTGTTCACGGCTCCACACACGCTGCGCGCCGCACCTCCTCCCCACCTCACGCTCGCCGCTGCCAGACCCGCCCGCATCCACGCTCTTCACGCCGCACCTCCTCCCCGCCTCACACTCACCGCCCGCCCACATCCACGATCGGCACAGGGACGCGGGGAGATGTAGTAAGGAGGAGCAGGTGTGGGGGGATGACAGCCGCCGATAGACAGGTCCGATCTCAGAAGCAAGTTGCTGGAAGACTGCTCAGGTAAGCCTGCACTTTCCCACACATGGTGCTCTATAATGTATTGCTGGGATTTGTATTCCTCTATAGCTGATGGTACATTGTGCTCTGTATTATATAGAGCAATGTACCATCAGCTATAGAGGAATACAAATCCCAGCAATACATTATACACTGTATGTATAATGTATTGCTGGGATTTGTTGTACTCCTATATAGCTGGTGATATTCTGCACTGAGCTGTATAGAGGACTACAAATCCCAGCAATAATACATTATACTGCGGAATACCACAAGCTATAGAGGAGTACAATAAATCCCAGCAATAGTAAATTATACAGTGGTGCAATGCCGAATACCACCAGCTATAGAGGACTACAAAACCCAGCAACAGTACATTATACAGTGCAATGCAGAATACCGCCAGCTATAATGTACTATTGCTGGGATGTGTAGTCCTCTATAGTCGGTGCCATTCTGCATTAATTGCTGTATAATTTTACACTTTCCTTTTCACTATATTGCACACCACTATATATTTTTTTTTCTTTTCTTTTCTACTTCTACCGCTCCAAGCTTGCTCCTGTGATGAAGTGCAATCTCAATACAAACTAGTAGTCCATCACTGGAGCCATTTTTAAAAATGTATTGTATTGTTTATCCGATTAACCGATTAATCGAACTTAATAATCGGCTAACTAATCGATTTTGAAAATAATCGTTAGCTGCAGCTCTAATGGCAATGTCCTGGCCTGGCCACTTCAGTTTCTAATTGGATCAAGGCAACCTATCGCCAACAGTCCATATATTAAGACATTAATTCCTATATGGTGGGGATGGTATCACATTACATGGGCATGTTTGAAGGTTTTTGCGATGAAACAGTTGTGTCTGAAGTTGCTGTGTACGGGCAGTGGAAGGATTAATATACAGAAATGCTGGCCCGCAGCATGACACTTTTTTGGATTGGATGCTTTGGTGCATCAACATGGACCTATGCTGCAGTGTGTTCCATTATTTACGTGATAAAGGAGGATGCCAAGCAATGGCCCCATTGATCTACTCTCTATATTTAACTAACAAGCTCCACATAAATCTCATACACTCCGGGATAGAAGGTCTCAGTACACTTCTGGAATGCAAGAGGAGTACTCCTTTAAGGCACCTGGGTATTACGACTCTGTAGTTGCTTTATGAAGCAAAATGCAATATAGTTAACATTAAAGTGCATCTAAAGCCAAAACGTTTTGTTCATGTCAGAATTTGCTTCTCTAACCATATAAGTCAATGTCCATACAAAAGCAACTCAAAGCAGCTTGCATCAGCCTAAAAAGATGTCAAATGCACCTGTCAATGGGCTGTGAGTGGACTTTAGAAGCGTTGCAAACAAGTGGAAGGCATCTGGATGCAATCTGCATTTGCTCATTGACACAAGTGCAAAGTCAATCAACACAAGCCCTTCCTCTCATTTCCTGTTGTGTCTACAAAGCAGTGAAGAGAAATCTCCCTAATGGGACATAGATTGAAAAAGCCTGAAAAATACAACAAAGGTTTTGGCTTTAGATACACTTCTGATGTCTTGAAGGGTCACATACAATTGTCTGCTTTCACGGTACAGATGATTATGCCCCCACTATTTCTCACCTCTTGACCAGACTTGCTGGAGTTCTCTGAATGCAATGACTCAATCTCTCCCTCTATCATGGCAGCCTCTAGGCACTCGTGCAAGTCTTTAAATCCGTTCACCTGGAGAGGATACTGCCCGAACATCTCAGTGTTTTCAAATTTCTTTCCTTAACAAGAGAGAATCAAACATTAACAATAAAAATGAAGGACAGGAAATTAGAGAGAACACTCTTAGCGTCAGATCATCAAGAGATCTCCCTATACCTGGAAATAATAAAATGTCCACGATCTTTGGGGAAATGTGCATTGTCAAACATTTTCAGAATTGAGGCAAGCAAGATATATAATGGGGTTTGAAAAGGTGCTTTTTACAAAGTTTTCAGTAAAATAAATCAGGAAGTGAAATAACGCGGTGCCCGGCAAGCCGGCTCCATGCTCCCTCGTCATGAGGTGACGAGGCGCCCAATTATTACACGGCGCCCGGCTTTACTGATTGCCCAGCTTCCCAACCAATCAGGAAGACGGGCAGCGTGTAATGACTCGCTGCCCGGCTTCCTGATACCAGAAGTATCGGGCTAGGCATCGGAGCTTTTGGGCGAGTACGAGTACTCGCCCAAATACTCGGCATCGGCACATGTACCCATACTAGTATTGGTATCGATGCATCCCTAATGTATAGAATCTGTTATTGATATGGCTGTGAGAGGTTGGATGTTGAAGGGATAAAAATGGGACATGGAAGATGTTTTAAACTGTTGTGTTTTAATCTTTGGTTTACAGAAAACCTTGTAAAAAGCACCTTTTGAAATCCAAATATACATATTGCTTGCCTCAATTGTGAATTGAAGGGGGTGTGGCGCTGAGACCAATTATCCTTCTAAGGCCAGCCTTAGAAGGAAAAATCATTTGGTTTTGGCAAACATTCTCAGAAAAAAAAAATTCTCATTTGCCTAAAAGCTGAACTGTGTGTGTGGCCCAATGCAACCTGTATCTGTATGCCAACAGAGGGTTCATCACTCTGAACTTCCATAAACAAGCTGTGTAATGTATTTGTTGGTGAAATGTTTGTGCCTTTACCCATACTTTGTGACCAAGGACAAGGCTTTTCTATGTGACATCAGTCCCATAATATCCGAGGAATGCCAAGACAAGTACACTTGTCACTGTTAATTCTCCATCAAGTGTTCCGGAAGCAGCCAGCCCTCATCCCCCAGGAAGAAAGAACTACAATGTAATACTGTTTCTTAACCAAGTGCTCTCTATCTATTTCAATACAAAAAACGCATTTCAAAAATAAGGAAAGCCACTATAAATACTCAACAACCCTGACAGCTAAGGAAAAAAAAAAAAAGCCTAGGGGCCCGCTGTCCACTCAAACATCAGATACTCTCAGAGAGGCCCTTCAATGCCAAGTACCAATAAATAATATCTGTATCTTTTTATAGTGTAAATTACAGAGCCTGCCAGACTGCAGTTGCATTATAGGCTTTTCTTTTCAGGGGCTAAAGTAAGAGCTGTGCACTTGAGTATATGGTGGCACCAGAGAACAAAAATACAGCGGCTGCAAATTAAAAAGGAAAAGGTAATTTTCAATAACATTTAATTAAGAAGGGCTGGTGTCACAATTATGTATGTTGTATTAATGTTTTGTGAAGAGTGAAAGTTGAATTTTAAGTTGAATTTTCCCTGAAGAACTCCAGGCATGTAAAAGGTTAACCTTTGCAGAGGCGTTACTCCTGCGCTGCAAGGTTTTACTGCTCATTTTTCTCTAGTGGATGGAACACAGATAGTATACTCACTCAGAGCTGAAGTGACCCCAACTGTATGCTCATGTCTAATGCAGGTGAATGGAGTGCATTGGACGTGATAGGACCGGTCTAGCTTCCAGATGGGATCAGGGATCGGGTGAGTATATTTTGTTTTATTTGAGTCCCTAGAGAAAAGCAAGCGGTTAACAATTGCAGTGCCTGGGTAGCTCCCACTGCAAGGATTACCTTTTTACATTCCAAGAAATTCCTCTACTTGATCTGACTACAATAATTTAAAATGCTATTAGTTGCTATGCATGTCTGTACTTTGCACTGCCTTATGCCCTTGCCGCCTCTTGCTGCTCACACACAAGTCAGAAGTGGCCGTTATGCGGTCATTGTTGCCACCTAGCAAGTATTCTGCAGTGAGGTGCAGGCTGGATCCAATGAAACTGAAAACTCATATGACAAATATGTGACAGCCCCGCTGAAGTAATGCATTAAAACAAAACCAGTTTCTGAATTAGCTCCCAATAAGCTTACATAAAATGACCCAGTTACATATTTTATAACTGCACAAATTCATATCCTGCATCACTAAGTGTTTATTTCAGAGGGAATGGTTCACTTGAAGTCTCCTGGAAGTCAACATGAGAATGTTGGTCTCTTTGGGTCCCCCAGTAGCACTCCCTGGTTACTCCTGCAGACTTTCACATCATTACTGCGTCCTGTAATGATGTGAAGGTTGGAGGGAAGAACCAGTGAGGGCCGAGGAAGACACAGGAGACTGACACTCCCAGAAGTGTCTGTTTCCCAGCGGACTTCAGGGGACCACCCCTCTGGAACGGATTAGTGTTCTGAGCCATGGGTAGCGTAGAGGTAAGAATGGACACTCTTCTTTTATGGGTTTCTGCAGTCTAAAAATACATTACAGGATCACTTTAATCCATTTGCTGCCAGCAATGTAAGGCTTATGTGTTGCTTTCTAATGGAAGCAATTTGGGAGGCTGTAAAGCGGTAAGGGACCTCCCTCCTGGGCACCCAGAACCATTCACTGATCATCCCTGCAGTGAATTAAGCAAGAAGCGACAAGCATTTCTTCTCTTCCACATTTATCTCAGACGTTTGGGTAGGGGAAGAAGCTAATCAAGCAAGATCTGTGCTTGATTAGGTTCATTAGAGCGCAGAGGTGACCCCCTAATGTCTCATTGTCAATTCCATTGTGTTATCACACAGGAAGCCAGCAAGACCCCTATGTGATAGCAGTAAAGTAAAAAAAAAAAAGAAGTTTAAAAAATTAAAAGTAAATAAAAGCAGTAAAACAATAAAGACCCCCAGGATCTCTGTTTCAGAAAAAGAAAAGTAGAATTCCTATCCGGAATGCATACCAATGCAGCCATATAATGCAAGAAGCCCATATACCTCTGTGGCCCGTGGCACTACACAACTGGCTAAATATTTTTACATCAGCAGTCAGGCTACACTTACAAAGAAGTTGAAGACCTCCACTATGGCAGCCATCGTCCTGCAGAAAGCCACACTGCTGTCCAAACTCATCAACATCACAGACATGTCTGTAAAGTCTATATGCGTTATTCAAATTCAAGTTATGATTTCTTGGGTTATATGGCCAAGCATTTGTGGACCATTACCCTTTTATGGCTTGTTGGACATCTCATAACTAAGAGCATTAATAAAGAGCAATAATGATTAGAGGCAAGGGCTTAGACGTCACACAGTGTTTACCCTAATGTAGAAGTGAATGAGTTGAGACGTGTAAATCATTGAACAGTTCCCTGTCTGCAATAAGTGTATCGTAGTAGTAACGTAAGTTGAATTCTTTTCAGATGAACCAGTTGAAGCATCATGCAGAGCATATTAATAAAGCGGCCCATTCAATTGACAGTTTGAAACCGATTATGTTTAGCAGATGAAAGACCATATTCTAGAGCCAGTCTATAGCTTTTCAAACTTTTCCATAAACTACAGTATATCAAATACCAACCTTCATGAACACCCACTGCCAGGAATCGCCCATAGAACAGCTCCACCATTGGGTTCTTTGGCTTTTCTGCATCTCTGGGGAAAATAACAAAAATCACAAACATTGTTGGGTTTCATTAAGGAATATGATCTATAAAACAAAAATGCTTTATACATGTTTAACATTAAATACAGTAAACTATATAAACTGTGGTAAAGGAGCACCGGGCATCTGCCCGCACCACCCAATCATAGTTAATCCAAAAGTCACTTTGCCAGGACGCGGAGATCATGTGTACAGGGATAGTGATTGATTCTTTTTTTCAATTCAAAACGTCTTTATTAAAACGTATAAAAGCATACAAAAGACAAAGTCTTGATGTAACAGTCGCACAGCAAACGTTATAGAGATGCACATATTAAATCTAGAACCATGTAGATATTGTGCTACAACGTAAAAGTGAACATATCAGGCCCTATGTCATTGCAGCGGGCCGTTGCTGCACAATATATGTAAGGCATATATTACAGAGACAAGTTAAGAGGGCATATGCATCCCCATCTCTGCTTACAGTTGAGACAGTTGAGACAGTCTCAACAGTTGAGAAAGAGTTACAAGGGAAGTTTTAGAGTTCTTTGTCACGTAGGCCACACGGTGTAATACAATGTCTTCGGGTTAGTATTGTGTAACTCAAAAATCGTGTGTGGTACATGGCCTCAGGGATGGGGAAAGTAAACAGAGAAGTGCAAAGAAGAATAGAGAGGGTTTAAAAACAGGTAGAAAAAGTTAGAGATGGCCCAGCGAGCCAGGTGAAGAACAGACCAGAAAGGGAATATGTGAAGAGTGGGCAAGAAGGGGGCAGCTAGGAGAAAGAAATGATGGGTAGAAGTTGGCAGGTGATTGATTCTTAACCCCATGTAATCATTACACATGCAAATACATGCAGAGTGCTGGCGTTCAAATGCAGCAGCTGTCACCCAATCATTAACTTATATGGTTGACAGCTACTGCTTGTCAACGGCTGACTAGGGATTCCTGCTGCAGGAAATTGCAAGTTCCTGACACAGGAATCCCCGATTGCACCTAAAATATAGGTGTGAATGGAGTCTTAGGGGCCTATTTATAGCAGAGAGCTAACCAAGCTCTCTGCTCGACATCACCATGCTTATAAAAGCAGCAGTATGGGCACTGTAAGGCGTAACCGCTGCTTTATAACTGGAGCCCTAAGTGGGGAATCTTTTCAACTGTTTTGTACTGTCCATCACAATCACTGATGGTGACAATAAAGCACTGTGCATTCTTTGAGAAGGAAGATAAAAAAAATTAAAAAAAAGCCTTCCAACCACCACAAAGTCAAAGTAAGAGTTCTTGAATAACCTTCTCTACTGAGAGCAGAGTAAATGCTTTGACATGTTACTGCTGCTTCATTTTCCCTCTCGCCTCCAGTGCAATGTGCATGTCACTGAGCTCTTCAATTGTCAGGAAATGTTCGCAGCCCAGGGGCAGCGCCGTGATCTTTATGGAATTGCTAAACAGTGAAAAAGCCAATTATAAGAACAAAAGTGATCGCTCGCAGAGCTGAATCTACCCTAACCTCCACGGAGCTGAGTGAAGCCACCAAAATGTTGAAAGGAAGGAAGTGACAGATGTGTATGGGCTCTTTCTGTGACAACTACAAGTGTGACTACTCGCTGCAAAAACAGAGCACTCTCCTTCTATTCCCTGCTTGTTGTCAGTTGCCTTGGAAAATACATGTTACAAGCCAGAATCTGGAGCCTTTCCACTACAATTACCAGTATACGATTACCGCAGCCTGCTAGGACTAGGGGATGGAAGTGCTTTATAGTTTGATAAGAGTTCCCCTTAAGCTCATGAAAGTGTTTATATTAAACATAATATACTATTTTTACATTCTTAACTTTTTAACCTCTTTTGCATTTCTGTGCTGCTGTTGTTCAGCCTCTCGCAGCATATCATGGTTCTGTATTCTTTAACTGGTAATGAAAACAGAGGACCACGCCACAATGTGTGGCACCACAGCTGTCTGTACTCTCCAGCAGGGGCACATGTGAAAGGGGCACAATGCACGGGCATGATGGTTGTCACTCCATGACAATAGGTGTCTTTAACAAGGACCTTTATGATAGGATCACCAGGTATTATTTGATGCAAGCTGTAGATCTGAAAAGATTGAGAACTGCTTTTATAATTACACAAACACGTTAGAGGGTTAGTTTACTCTTCTGCATATTTCCCCCAAAAATCCCCCATGCTTTCCATCACCCTCAGCAGTTTTCAAAGTACTGTTCAGATGTTAAAAAAGCTGCCCTTTCCTATCGTATTCTGTAGGTCCTGAACAGTCTGTCTGCAAAAACCTCTAGGTGATTGGACACCCACACAGCGTGTCGAAATTGCGCCCATGCACGGTGTGCTCTCCTTCCTTTAATTCATCCGAGACTGCTGCTGGGCTCTGTCATCTTGAATGTGATTTGAGCAGACTCAGAACTGTCACTGCAGTAACACCCCATAACAGGGGCAGGCAACCTCAGGACTTTAGCTGTTGTGAAACTACAAATCAGCATTGCAAAACATGATAGGATTGGTAGTTTCACCACAGCTGGCATGCCAATGTTGCCTACCCCTGCTCTATAGTACTCCTCTTCACTCTGCCCCTGGCTGCAACATGAAAGGTTATGCAGGAAGGTGAGGGCTAGGGTAGCTGGGCCAGTACAGAAAACAATTGGACACCTGGAAGAGGACAGGGTTTTGACATGCAAAGAGGGAGAGGGGCTGCACTAGGGAATTGGCTCTTTCTGGAGTGTCAATTTCCTAGCAAGTTCAGAGGCAGACGGCAAGTCAATCAAAAAAAATAATAATATGGAAAGGAGAAATGCTTAAAGTAAAGTATTTCAAATACTTGATTTTTCTGTGCTTTTACCTGCAATTTTTAAAGTTAGTGGCAGGGCCTCTAAAGTTTTATTCTTGGGTTTAGATATATATATATATATATGTGTGTTTTTTTTTAAACAAATTTATTTATTTATTTTGTTACTTTTCCACACAAAATTCCACGCAACAAAAACAACATTATAACAAAAGTAGGCAGCAAGTTCAGAAGATCTGTGTGATAAGCCCTTAGTGATTTGGAAACACAAAAACACAAGTACAAGAATGAAATGGCACGCGTTATGCTTTCGAAACGGTCGCTATAGGGCGAGACGTCCTAGCTTGACTTTCTGGTTGTGTTGGCAAGGTGAAAACACCTCTTGCCCCTCCCTTTTAGATTGTAAGCTCCAACAGGCATGGCCCTCCTTACCATCTCGTCTTGTATTGTAACTGTAATGCCTTCCAAATATTGTAAAGCGCTGCGCAAACTGTTGGCGCTATATAAATCCTGTATAATATAATAGTAACTGTTACTTGTGGCCAGACTAAACTGAAGTGTCAGGACAAGCCACAGGTAAAATGTTAACACCTCAACTAAGTTTAAATATAGGCTGATTCATTCCCATGAAGCTTGTACATGTGATTCAAGAATGTTTAAATGCCAAATGAATACAAGAATGAATACAACATGAATACAAGAACAGCTTATGGGAACGTGAGAACATGGTCATCAATCCATGTGACACAGGAAGGGAGAATAATGAGAACGTTCTTGTGTGTAATTCTCCGTGCCATTTCATAAAGGGAATTCTAGTCTCAGCTTGCCCATCTTAATTTAATGCAAACAAGGCGGTGCCAACGGCACATCCCTCACCTTTCCTCCTCTGCCTTTATCTGGAAAGCGTCTTCCAGCCAGTCCAGCAGTTTGTGGGTGAATTCACTAACATCTTGCTGCAGGAAACAAAAAGAAAATCAGTGTTACAACAGGATGGCAAAAAAGAGAGACTGATCACTCCATCCATAATTTAACAACATTTCACAGCATAAACAAAAACAAAACAAATACTATGCAGGGGAGCAAGCAATGTAAAATTAAATTACATCTGCAGCTGGAAAATCTCTAAGCCGATTGCTCAAGGCATATATGTGATCCATATATGATAAGCCCTCATTCGCCTCCTAAATCTGTTTTATTTAAATGCAGGAGAAATTAATGTGGTAAGTTTAAACTTTATAACTCATCCATCAATTGTGCCTGCATTGAAATGTACATGTTTAGACCCCATTCACACTGGGACTTTTGTCGCGTTCTGGGATTCCTGCAGTTTGGGACAGATGATTCTTATTGGGCGCATTTATCCAACGTCCAGCGACAGTCATCTATCCCAATTTATTGCATGTAGGATTACATTTGGAGTGCCGCTAAAGGATGCATCTTAAACTCATAATAATTGAACCATTAGGGATAGGCACCACACCCCTTAGTAGAAATGTATACAAGAAAAATAGAGACAAGCGGGGCTTTTAAAGTGTCCAAACCATACGAAATGTCCATCAAACATACATGGTTTTGTATAAAAAATAGATTACATTAAAAGGAGAATTATGAGGCCAGGGATTTTCACTCAGCCTCATAATCTGAGCCGACCTGTGACAATGAAACGGTCACAGGTCAGCTCAGTAGATCGGGAAGTGAGCGAATACATACCGTCGCTTGCTCACTTCTCGATCTATCCCTGCAGAGAGCCGTGAGTGAGAGTCCCTGCAGGGATTCCCCCGCCCGATCCTCCAGTGCTGACTGGCGGAATGGACGGGGTAAAGGGGTGGGCACAGATGGCTCTACCTCTGGATAGGCAGGGCCAGCTGTCAATCCCGCAGCTGGGTGGATCTCGACAGCAATGTCGGGATCTGTTCCGGCGTCTCAGTATACCGCAAGCTGTAGCTCGCGGTATACTGAGCTTTGGGTCACGGGAGAACGCTAGTTTGTGTTCTCCTATGACCCTTAGGAGAACTATGGGGAAAATCACTAACATAATTTAAAGACTTGGTTACATTAGAAATGTCATTGGCATAATACATTGTATAAATATTATATAATAATATTGTATCATACCAATGGCATTTGGAATGTAACCAAGTCTTTAAATTATGTTTATTTTAATGTAATAAAATCTATTTTCTATACAAAACCATGTATGTTTGAAGGACATTTGGTATAGTTTGGACACTTTAACAGCCCCGCTTTTCTCTATTTTTCCTGTATGAAGGATGCATCTTAACAGGGAGATGTGCCGTAGGAATCCATAGGTTCTTGCCACAGGAATCCCAGCACACCCCCATGCAAATGTGCGTTTTTGTTGCGCGTTTCCATTGGGATACATCCAAGTAGCCCTCGGAAAAGCGAATCGCGGTAAAAACGCGTGTCACGAAACGCGCGACAAACGCATATTCGATAGGCCTAGGTGTGAACAGAGCCTTAGAGTATCTAATTTGCTCCTGGACGAACAGATTTAAATTTTTTCTAAATGCAGCTAAACTAAATGCACCTGAACACAAGCAACCTCACAGTGTCCATTAAACTATTTAAAGGAGAACTATGAGATGAGTGATTTCCACTCACCTCATAGTTCTAAGCCGACCTGTGACAATGAGACTGTCACAGGTCGGCTCAGTAGATCGGGAGGTGAGAGAACACATACGGGTTCCCTCACCTCTCGATCCTGTCACGGCTCTCTGCCGTGACAGGGGGAGGGGCTGGATTCCCCCCTCCCCGCTCTGCCAGCGCTGACTGGCGGAACGGACGGGGGAGGGGGCGGGTACAGCTGGCTCTGCCTCTAGATAGGCAGAGCCAGCTGTCACTCACGCAGCTGGGCGGATCCCGTCATCTAAGTCGGGATCCGCTCCAGGTGCGGCGTCTCAGTATACCGCGAGCTGTAGCTCGCGGTATACTGAGCCTGGGGTGACTGGAGGACGCTAGTTTGTGTCCTCCCGTTACCCCGAGAACTATGGGGAAAAACACTGACCCCATAGTTCTCCTTTAAAAGCATTACATGCATTTAGAAAATGTCCTATAAACACATATAAATGAAAGCCAATTTGATTCGAATGAGGCCTCAGGCTAAAAGAATTTTAAAGCCAAAGTCACAAAAATAGCTGTCGACGTCAGGCAGACATTGTAGTAACAACCTCCATTTGATAAAGGAATTACACCGGGAGGGGAATGTATCAAAACTGGAGCAGACAGTATCTGGAGCAGTTGTGCATGGCAACCAATCAGCTTCTCTCTTTTATTTTGAAAGTTTAATTGAAGAGAGATGTTGATTGGTTACTTTGGCAACTGCTCCAGATTCTGTCTGCTCCAGTTTTGATAAATTCCCCCAGTGTGTCTAAATAGGACTGTTTAGTCCAACAGGCACCAGAGTTTGACCACACCGCTCAGTGCACTCTATAAATATAGATCTGGTAAGTCACACTTCCTGTCCTCAGCAATACAAGTCTGTGTGAGGACTCTTTATGTAGAGGGGTGTGGATATTACTCATCTATGCCGACATACAGCACTGCATTGGGAAATAGGAAACATTCCTACAGAAAGAAACTGCCATATAAAAAAGGCATTTCCAAGTGAAGATCAGGTAATAAAATACAGTGGGTCAACAAAGAGTAAAAAAAAAGGTGAGATATTCAATTTGGGTTTTACACTACCTTCCAAGTGAATAGCTTCTAAAACTGTACAATACATTTTCACACATTGGAACAAGGGCAAATAAATGGCTAATCAACTAATCAAATAAGCTGCAATGTGAGGCCCATCTGACTCTGCAGCAAGTAGAAACTAGAAGAAAAATTAATCTTTAGAAAGAAAATAGTTTTTATTCTATAAGAGAAGTAATTTACTCTCAGGACACTAGCATAACCTGTGGGAGCTACTAAGCTGACCTTACAATTCGGTTTGGCAGGGTCCAGTCTCCTGAATGCAGCAGCATAACCAAATGAAACTAAATTACTTGATCCTGTGTCCATTAAAACAGAGAAAACCGTTTATAACCCCAGTCCTGCTTTCCATGACACTGAACCCTGCTCCAATCTCCTGGGTCCCCCACAGCTCTCACTCGCTCCTCCCTCTGACCACCACCCATTTACAGCATACAGTAGTTATGTGCAAGTCAGCAAGAGGAACCAGTGGGAGCTGAGGAAAACCTGGAAGATTGACACTAGTGACATTGGCGGTGTGGGCAGCAGGAAAGGTAACTACAGTCTTTTATGTGCATTGTTGCATGTTACCAATATTGTAGAACAAAGGTGTTGTTTTAACTGCAATGAATACAAATATAATCAGACCTCATTAACGCTGTAGTTCCAATCTTGCTTTTAGAGGGTCACACATGTTTGAAAACAGGTCAAAAACACAAATTTAAAAATGCCTGTTTGTACATGCCAAGAGCACAGAAAGCATAACATTACCTGCTGGGAGTCATTTGACTTGAAGGCATCCTTTAGAATCTCTACTGCTCTAGAGGGATCAACATATTTCCTCTTCGAGCTGACCAACAGTGAGAAGAGATATCTCAGCTCACGCATGAAAGGCAGGTTCCTGTGTTCCTGTGGAGTGCAGATAATATGGGAGTTACGCATACAGCAACTATACATAACTATCACTTTTTACCTACTTCCCCACCTTGTTGCAAGTCTAGCTTTAAAACAAGAGATGATGCTGAAGATTCAGATGTTAAACATTTTTTATATCAAACATGTATGGTCAATTTGGCTAAACATGCATGTTTATATACTGCACAGAAACCCCCCGGCTCAACAGTACGTCAGGCAAAATTATTAGTGATCATTCAACCATTTTTTGGCTTCAGTGCTTTCTGTGTCACTGTCCCGGAAACAGTATAATAATAACAATTCTGATTTTTCACTTATTCTTTGCTCTGCATCTGTGTCTCAGAAGTATTGAAGACCCTTTTGCTAGATCATTATTTTCAACAGAAACATGTCCATAAGAATATATGTGCATATAACATAATTTGTATGCATGTTGTTTAACTGTAATTGCGTCCCTTGTATAGACATCAAAAAATAATTCATGGTAAGTAAAAGGACTGCAAGTAAGAATTTTCTGGGCTTTTACCTGCATATTTTTAAGCTGGTGATGGGGTCTTTTTAAGGCTAGTTTGAGCTAGTTTGATTGAGCTGGTGAGCTGTTTGTGCATTTTCGTTTTTCGCGACTGCTTTGAAAACAATGTTGCCCTGATGAAGGGACCCTGCGTGGCCCCAAAAAGTTGGCTTCTTGACGCATGTGACATATCAATAAAAGTGCTATCCATTTAGCACATTACAAGTGAGTTCTGGTGACTACTATCTTTACTTGGATTGTTACACGGCGCCTTCCATGTCGTCATTTCGAGCACCAACGGAAATTTCGTTTGGTTCAAGCGCTATATGGTGTGCAGGTGATTCTCTAACCCTATTTATACTTTGAAAACCACGCGGTTTTCAATGCATAGAGAGGTCTATGGGACCCAAACCACGCAACCACCACCCGAAAACAGCTCCCGCACTTTTTTGCGTGACAGGCAATTTCGCCAGCGCGACAAACCGCAAGGGTGTGGACAGCCTCCATTGACTTCAATGCAAATCTGTGTTTTGCATAATGAATCGCCAAGGTTTGAACCTAGCCTAAAGTTAGATGGCCAAACATCTAGCAGAAGGCGACCAGAAATGGTAGTCAACAGATTTAACAGCAGGTGTACATAGAAAAAAAAAAAACTATAAACCTATATAAACCTGAGAATATATGCAATTGATTTTAAATAACTTTCCGGACCCAAAGATACTTTGCCCTTTAAACAGCTGATTGAAATCCCGTGTTCTAGCTGCTTTCCATTTACCTTAATGTAGAGAAAAACATGTTCCTGCAGGTTTAACACCATCAACCAGATTGCATTTACCTGAAGGTCAAAACACTTAACGCTTTACTTTCACATGAACAAATTGAAATGCTTATTTAAGCAAAAGGTGCTTTCCCAGTTTAATGGCTTTAAGATGAAGCAAAAGCAAGAGCAGATAGAACATATACAGCACACCAGTGTGAAATTCAATACAGTGTCATTGTGTTTTATAGCCAACATCTCTTCCCCCTCGACTCTCTCCTTAAAGCTTGCCTACAGCTTCTGACATTTAAAGTACATTTTCCTGTAAGACTCACAGCAGTGGCTGCGTAATGGTCTACAGTAACAAACAGCAGTGCTGGGTAATGACGCCTTAAACTGGATTAGCCATTTTAAATGTTGCTGTTATTACTACCTGTATGTGGCTACTGCAGGAACAGTGGGGTTTATGTATAATGCCTTCAATCCCTTGTTCAAAGACTATTTTCCCCAAAATGTCAAAAACAAGGAGAACCCGTCAATATAAAAACATTATCATATCTGATATTGTGCTGCCAGTCAAATATTGGGTTGTCACCTTAAACTGGTCATACACCTATAGATTATTATCTGCAGGTTTTCTATGGTCAGATGGAAAAAGTGCAACAGATTCCTCCATCTGCGCTAAACTGTGTGGATGGAGGAATCTCCCGCTGGGCCAAGCGTCAGTATCTTCCTAGTCGGCCCTGCTGGCTGTCAAAATACCTGAACAATCTGATTGGATGCAGGCATTGTTCAGGTATCTCCCAGCGGAAGATTCCTCCATCCACACAGTTTAGTGTAGATGCAGGAATCCATTGTACTTTTTCCATCTCACTAGGGAAAAATCTGCAGAAAACCCTTAGGTTTATGGCCAGCTTTAGACACGAAAAATGTAAGGTACAACTAAAGGCTCCTGTATGACAGTCTAAACAAGTACTAAATCCAGTTATTTTGTGATGCATAAGCCTCAAAGTAAATCAACATCTTCCTTTACATTCCGTGACTGAGCCAAATCCTCTGTGTCTCAAATGTTCCCCCTCCCAGACACTGCAGATCACAATGGGAGGGTTTCAGCAATAGCAGCAGTGTTGTCAAATAAAAAAGCAGTGGGCAGGGCTATGTGCGTCCAGGTGCATATTGACAAGCTACAGGCTTATGAATCAGCAGTGACGATGCTGATAGTCGTGCCCCCTGCAACATATTTTCATCCCACTGTAGCACAAGCAGATGCAGCCTACATGAGATGTGCAGCCGAGGTAGTGCATGTACACAAGACTCATCTCTTTAGGGAAGCCTATCCCACCTCAACCTAACACCATCACGTTGTCAAACAATTCATCCCCACACAGCTACCTCCTCATGTATCACTTGCCCCTCCCTTTCAGATTATAAGCCATCGGGGGCAGGTCCCTCCTTACCATCTTGTCTTGAATTGTATTGTGATTGTAATGTCTTCCTTATATTGTAAAGCGCTGCGCAAACTGTTGGCGCTATATAATTCCTGTATGATAATAATAATAATAATAATACACAGGCTGAAAGAGGCCCAAGTAGATCAGCCACACTGAGATCCAAAAACTGTAAAAATTTGAAAATAGTATTTTATGGGGAATAAAAGCATATCAATTGCTTATGGTGCAAGGTGCTTTAGAACACTAAGGCCTTGTTCACACCAAATGCAGAGCAGATCTGCATGAGTTTCTGCACACGTAGTGCAGTGGGTTGTGCCGCGCTTTTGATGCGTTCAGGGCCGTTTTTGGTACAAAAAATAATAATAATTTTCGTTTAAAATGGGCTTTCAGTGTGTTCCAGGCATTTGAATGTGTTTTTGATGCGTTTGCATGCGTTCCAGAGCAGGTAAAATAGGGACTGCTGCAGTTTTTTTACATGCTCTGGAACTGAACGCTGCGATGTGAACTGGAGCTAAAAATACCATTGGAATACATTGGACGCAGTTGTGCGCCGGTCTGTAACTGCTCTGCACCTGCTCCGCGCTTGGTGTGAACAAGGCCTTCATTTTACCCATTTAGGCTTTAACGCATTCATTTAAAATATACAGAATATATTAGTTTCTTGTTACATGTGCCTGCAGTCTATATGCACCTAAATTCCTTCCTGTCAATACAGGTATACCTCCCTTTGTTGATATTGCTTCTAGCTATACTGAGTGACTGTATTACTGTTACTTCCAGTCAACCATGTAATTATTTTATGTCATCTCTTCGTCCCTCTCACATCTTCCATGGCAGGCAGAAAATACACAATTACGTATTTCACAAAATGCACATAAGATACTTTTCACATATACCAGACCTTTTGGTTTCGGGGTACATCCTGAGCACTTGCAGGGGGGTTGTAGTTTAAAACAAGTCTACGAAATTCCAGCAGGTTGAAGAGAGACTGGAGAGGGAAGGAGAAGTGATATGAGTACACATATTTGAACATGAAAAAGAACATCAAAGTCAGATCCTGATATGGAAAGAAGACTATAAAAGGAGAAGCACCAAGGTGCCCCAAGGGTAGAAGAATTCTCAAAGTAATATCCACTGCAGATAACAATCTTAGTTGAACAGAAACATCTCCAATATATTCCAGCCAAATTTCCATTACAGCCTGACGTATGTGATAGGAGTAGAACAGAACTGGCATAGAGTAGAATGCCTGAGTGCTGGTGCACGCCTCCAGGTGCAGACCGGGACTTCTGTTCCTTTCCACGGCACTTCCCCATTATCTTCCAGAACACATGCCAGACAGTGTGATCAGAATTTGGCTGGGAAAGAGTAAATGCTTTGGGGGCTGTAGTAAAGTTGTGCGGCAAATCAGGACTTGGTGGCATGGGAGCTTATTGCTCCATGCAGGGCAAGTTTATTTTAACCTAGGCTGGCCATATACTGGTTAGACAAGATAACTTTTGTTCGACTTTCTATTAGTTGATCGGGTTGAATCGACGATCAAATTCGACCATAGTGACAAAAAAACTTGAAGCAGCAGGATGGAAACTTTCTCAAACAAGCGTAAATTCTAACAGTGGATTGTTTTTTTGTTCAGGAAACCCAATTCATTCCAAAATAGAATCAAATAAAATCAAGCGAAATTTCGATGGACATTCAAGTGTGTGATGGCATTATCATGTGGTCCAGCTCTTTCATACGAACATTCATACGGAAATCTACTAGTGTTTGGCAAGCTTTAGCCTTTCACAGACTTAGACATTTCCTTACGCTTAGCGGTCAAGAGTGAAGTAGAGTCCTGTGTGGGATAGGAGTCAACAGTGTCATAGTTTACACAGGACTAGGAACATCTTGTGCGACAGTGCAGATTGTCACAGGAATGCTGCTCGATACCAGAGGCATGTTGGAAATAGAACAGCATATACTAATATGTTTGAGCAGTAGATGGCGCTGTGATGCAATGTTGGTCTCCGTGCTTGTGCATGCTTTTCTATGGTATATAGGTTTCCTGTTAATGCAGTATTCCTGTATACGTATATGTAATGCCCTGCTATGCAAGTCAAACTTAATTTAGCATTCCTCAAGATCTCAGTGCTTCATCTAAACACAGACCCAACAAGGTACTGGGTAGTTTCTTACACAGTTAAATGCTAAGAGGAGGGTGGGGTGTTGGAGCAAACCTGCTGTTTTGCCTTAAAATGCATCTATCTGTAATGAATGCTGTGTGTTTTACCTTGTGGGCTAGGTAATATGAATGTAGCATCTGTTACTTCCTGACAATTTCACAATCTTTTCCGAAGCATGTTAGGAACTTCTGATCTCCCAGACCCCAAACCTCCCTTATCTATTATATCTGACCCTACTCCGATAAATAGTGAGACGTCTAGGAGGGTAGACATCCACCAGACCCCTCAGCTGTCACTTAGGAGACTCATTCGACAGAAACAACTCATGGGCAGTTCACGGTCATCCAGAGATTTTCAACGAAATGGCAAACCTTTGTCAGTGAAAAAGATTGCTTCATAAATCAGAAGTGTTCATTTTATTCTCCATTGCATACCCATAAAGTGCCTAAAGCTTGCCCAAATGCCATACTAAGATTGGCCACCAATGGCCATCCTAGAACTGGCTGAGCACTTGCAAAAGGACAGCCATTGCATGAATGTTATGATGCCCTTGGGGCAGGCTACCTGCCGAGCGATCCATACATTAGTAGGATTGCTTACAACTATATTATGAGAATATGTGGATGGCGGAAGGGGAAGCTTCAATCTGGAGGCTGATTGGCTGAAAGAAAATGAGCAGCTGAAAGTGACATTAAAGTCACATCCACCCCCCACCCCCCCCATGCTGCTTTAAGGACTTACCTTAACATGATGCCTGTTGATCCGATCATCATCTGCTTTCCAGTAATTTCCAGGAGTCCCTCCAGCGCTGGTGCCGGTCTCTGATCTAGAGCTGTGTCTTCTGTGTCCCACGGAGTCTGTCCGCGTGCATGCTCCCATCTACGTGCATTGACTTCCACTGCGTCTCTCCTTTTCTCCCGGCCGAAGATCTCTACAGCACATGCACCTGCCCCATGATCCTTCACGGCCTCTCGAAAATGTTCAGATTTTCGGCCGGGAGCGAGCGGCGGAGACACAAGTAAGTTTGTACCTATTTGGTAACTTTTCTTAAATGTTTTTGTATATATTTACTGCTTGCTAGCAGTAGCAATATTAAAAAAAAAAAAAAAAACTAAGGTTTAATTGTACTTTAAAGAGGCATCTTACCTATCCAATCAAGTGCCAGCAATGTGTTTGGCCAGCATGCACAAGAACTTTCCATTGACAGGAGATTGTTGCTCAATCATCTATGGAAACCTGAAGCTTGCAGAATGCTCATTTCTAATGCCCTGCGTGTTAGTGTACACATTTTATATCAGTGTTACAGCCTCAGCATGTCCTAGATTTTACAGTGCTGTAGAAGACACAGGTATGATATTAACCAATAACAGAGTGCCTCGGCCTAAAGGTAAAGTACAGCGTGCCTTGTGATGCCTGGAGCCAAATGTCCACTGTCATTTACCAGTGCTCGCTGCTGATGTTATCAGAGCTGAGAGATCTTGCATACTAAAATATGATCAGACTCAACAACACAGGCATATAAACTAGTCAGCGTAAGTAAACAAGCCCGTCTCAACAGCTGACGGCAGTGTCAATGATTCACCATCTGTTACAATCTGTTAAAAAGACTTGTGGCAACTTTGATGGCAGAGTAGAAGAGCCATTCATTGTAAACAAATAATAATTTTAGATAAACAGATTGGAATAGGAGCTCGCGGCAGATTGTAAGGGCCCATACACAAAGATGCTCTTCGTACCCAGCTGCTATTGAAATGCTTGTCGAGGAGAACTCCAGATATCAAGTTTTTTCTTAATAGCACTTAACTGCCCTGTGCGCTTAAGCGTGTACAGACTATTTAAGGGTACCCATGGTCAAAAAAATTATAATGTATATATGGTAAAGTTCTATCCAACTTCTAATAATCATATTAATCTAGAAGTTTGTAAACGTTCCTATTGAAGATGCTTATAGCATGTACTTCCTCAATTTCACTCACCCTGTGAATATGTACTTCCTGTGCCACCGCTCTTAAGCCCTGGTTCACACCTAGGAGTGTTTGTGCAGTTCGAAAAGCGCTTTTATCTGCCGGACACAAGAAGTCCCATGATTTTAATGACCCCGAGTAGAAAAACGCCAAACGCCTGAAAAGATACAGGAGCTTCTTTGGGCAGTTTTAAGCGCTTTTCCGCCCCATAGACTTCATTGGAAATGCCCAAAAAAGCGCAACATAAGCAGGTTGCACATTTTCGTGAGCGTTTTTGTGCGTTTATACGTGCGTCCTTCCATTGCCCACAATGGTTTATGAGCTGCCAATCAAAACGCGTGTTTTCATGTACGCGCGTTAAACGGCACCTACAAACGCGCAAATAACCTCACGCTAACGCGTGTACAAACGCTCAAAAACGGTGACGCCTTGGTGTTAACTGGGGCTAAGTCTGCCGTCTGAACTACAACTCATGTCTGAGCAATGTAACATTATCAGTGCTTGCCGGAAGCAATGCATGGTGGGATAAGTAGTCTTGAGAAATGGAGACTGCATCACATGAAGCAGCAGGGAAAGAGACGCAAAGCAAACTGTGAATCCAGGAAGTTGATGAAAGTGATGGGCAGACAGAAGGCAGCACTCACTACATAAAAGGGATTTTTTTCACGTAAGCTTTGATTGTATTATCAAAAGCAAGTCTAGTAGTTTGTATTCCTATTACGATGCTGAAGTTATAACAAGATAGTATATGCTGGGACTTTAGGACTCCTTTAGTGTAAAAATAGCCCAATGGGAAATTACTTTTTTGGTGCCATGAGGAAACTGTTGAAGGAAATGTTGTAACTATGCAGATATTTCACAAACAGCAGAAAACTGGAACTTCAGACCTCTATGGCAGCAAGCTGTATTAGAACACTATTTACACTGGGCAAAAACAAAAGCCTGCAAAGGAACACCTGAGCAATGCATCCTTCAAGCAGGCAAAGATGTGAGGGGTTCAAAGGTTGTTTGTATGGCAATGAGAAATCTGTCTACTCTCTGTGCACTAACACACATTAACCCAATTACACATCAGTTTCTGAAAGCTGGACTGCTGAAAGATTCATACTGACTGGTTGCCATGAATGTGCACGTTACACTTTTTTTTGGCTTCCTAAATGAGCTGAACAGCAATACATTTAGAGAATATGTACACTTGTAATAGACATTTAGAGGCTTAAGGAGTTGCATTTACAGCCTGTAACACAACACAATACAATACCCCTTACCACAGAAAACCCAGTTTAGAATTTGCAGGCTGTGGGGACAGGAAGCATTGGATAGCACACTGTGGCACCCCTACCTACACCTATTACGCAGTAGGAATACAGAAATGGGGGCGCCGGGGGGGGTCTTCAAACAAGTGGGGCCATAAACCTTTCTTCAGATCATTAGGTTGTGCTTAGAACAGGGCTGGACAAATCCCAGGAGCCAGGTAGCCAATTCTCCATAAAATTCACAGCTGGTGTCTGGACTTTTAACGTTTTCAATAATCAGGGATGCTGGAATAGTATTGAATCAGATGCCCAGGACATGCAGTTCCGGGAGCCGGGCAGGTGTTTAACATTTAGCCCTGCTGCAGTCAAGCTGCTGCTCTAATCCTATTTTGGGATTAGAGATCGGAAAAGAGATCGGATTGGTTATCACAGTGATCACATGGCAATGTTTACATTGACAAGCCCTCCCCTTCCTCTTACATTAGAGGCAGGGGAGAGTACAGGAACTAGGGCTGCAACAAGTAATCAATTAAATCGATAAGAATAGTTGGCAACTATTCTCATTATCCATTAGTTGGAAAAAGAGAGAGAGAGAGAGAGAGAGAGAGAGTGAGAGAGAGAGAGAAAGAAAGAAAGAGAGAAAAAGAAAGAAAGAGAGAAAAAGAAAGAGAGAGAGAGAAAGAGATTTTTTTTAATATAACCAATCGAAAAAATAATCAGGCAACTAGTCGATTATGAAAATGAATCATTAGCTGCAGCCCTAACAGGAACTAATGAATGGATGACATGTTCTGTTTAAGCTCACTATCTACTTGTGGTTGTTGATTGTATAAAAGTATTTTTAGATAGGTCTTCTAAGTTGCTATAAAGACCTTATTTAATAAATTTTAACGGTTTTGGTTAAAATTATGTTTATCAGACAGAACAAGTAGATTGTCATCTACTCGCGAGCCACAGCTCGCGGTTATACTGAGACGCCGCAGCCGGGACGGATCACGACATTACTGTCTGGATCCATCCAGCTGCGTGAGTGACAGCTGGCTCTGCCTATGTAGAGGCAGAGGCAGAGCCCGCTGTGCCTGCCCCCTCCCCTGTCCGTTCCCCCAGGCAGCGCTGGAGAATCGGACAGAGGAGGGGGGGAATCCCTGCAGGGAGCCGTGAGTGACAGCCACGGCTCTATGCAGGGACAGGATCGAGAAATGTGCGAGCGACGGTATGTGTTCGCTCACTTCCCGATCTATTGAGCTGACCTGCAACAGTTTAATTGTCACAGGTCGGCTAGAACTATGAGGCCGAGTGATTTTCACTCGCCTCATAGTTCTCCTTTAAATGCTGCTTTGTTTATAAAGAACACATATGACACCTGATCATGTTTAAATACCGCTTGGTTTATAAACACATATAACACCTGAATATGGTTAAATGCTGCTTTGTTTATAAAGAACACATGTGATACCTGATCATGTTTTAATACCGCTTGGTTTATAAAGAACACATACGATACCTGATCATGTTTAAATACCGCTTGGTTTATAAAGAACACATACGATACCTGATCATGGTTAAATGCTGCTTTGTTTGTAAAGAACACATATTTGAAGCAGTAAATAAGTGCCTGACCCTGCAGTTTTAAAGGTCATGAAACTCAAGCATGTAGCTTGTGACCACACTGGATATGGGTACACAATACAGTTTGGTAAACATGAAATGAGCTGGCTCAGATGCTTTCAGGCATTGGAAGCATTAAGTTACAAACATTGCTGAATCCTATGAGATCATTCTTGCTGAATTATTATGAGCACACTGAGCCTCATTTATAACGGCATCTATTAAAAAAAGAAGAAAAGCACGTGCTTGTCCTTTCATTTTCATAGCAACATCAAAAGAATAAAGTAGTATGGCCAACAGAAACTCTATAAAAGGTAATCATTTGTATATTTAATATTGTATCGGCATTTAATTCAAGTATTTGTGAATACAAATAAATACATTTTCTATAATCCCTTTTTAGTCATGTAAAAAGGTGGCAGCATGAGACTGCTACCCCAAACTTTCAGATTGCTGTGCTGTGATTACAGACGTGAATATCAGGATCTCAGGTTACTTACACACACACACACACACACACAAATAATGAAGGGGGGAGGTAGAGCAAAGAAGGCCCCATCTAGATGTTCAATGTGCAGCTGCAGTGAACAAGTGAAAAGCTAGTGCTGGGCTTTCTTATTAGACAGCCATGTACTGCACACAATGAAGTACCTTGTAATGTATATTAGACTGACAAAAACCCAGGTTTGTTTTCTCTTTAAAAGTCTCCTTAACCACCCCAATACCAACACGCATCTGATTTCCTGAATACCCATCACATTTTCAGAAGCCCTGAAGTGCAAGGACAGTAGAAACATCCTCTCAATGTAACCATTTTGGAAAGCAGACAACCCAAGGAATTTGCTCAGTGGCCTGACTCTTTTCACAGGGAACTTGCTAGAGTCGGTGGTTGCCATTAATGTACCTGACTTTTACAGGTTCGTATTCTGACTGACAGACTGTTCTCATCACTAGTTTACAATTTTTTGGACATTGGGGCAGAACAGCAAAAAGACAAAAAAAGTAAAACAAAAAACACTGGCAAGGGATGTGATCTGCAAACTGAAAACACGGGTGCTGGCTGTGATCTGCAAACTGGAAACAGGGGTGCTGGCTGTGATCTGCAAACTGGAAACAGGGGTGCTGGCTGTGATCTACAAATTGGAAAAGCGGGTGCTGGCTGTGATCTACAAACTGGAAACGTGGGTGCTGGCTCTGATCAGCAAACTGGAAACGCGGGTGCTGGCTGTGATCTACAAATTGGAAAAGCGGGTGCTGGCTGTGATCTGCAAACTGGAAACGTGGGTGCTGGCTCTGATCAGCAAACTGGAAACATGGGTGCTGGCTCTGATCAAGAAAAACTGGAAACGCGGGTGCTGGCTCTGATCAGTAAAACTGGAAACCCTGCACTTGTTATGATCAGCAAACTGGAAATAATGACAGTGATCATCAAAATGGGAAAACTGACAATGGCTGTGATTATGTGTATTTTGTACACTGTGATGTGAACTGCCATCATTGGCACTGACTGCCCCTCTCACCGGATCTGTGCTTTCTGCCTGTGTTCTGCACTGTCCATTGGCAGTTTGATCAGAAGCATTGTTTTCACTTGTGATTGGTCACTGCTATCACAAGGTACACAGCCACCGTCACTGGCTCATCGCCTTTTGTCTGTCCAGTTACAGCAAGATCACAGGCACTATGCCCACACGAGCCCGACATTTAAAAATGTCCACTCAAAAGAGGATGTCCCCACACTGGCTATTTAACTACAGCAGAAGGTAGTGGGGTGGTTAAAGAGACATTCTTACCTTGTTCATGAAGTGTCTGTATACAGACCATCCCAACCCCGGCCCCCTTATTGCTCCTCATGCAATGCCACTTTGCCCACAGGGTCTCAAAACGCTTTACTCTCTTACAGAGTGTTATACACAGCAGTGGTGTGGTGGCCATTTTGTATGTTGTACTTGCATCCATGTAAACAGAGCAGAGGGTACATGATTAAATTTAGAGGTGCACCGAAATGGAAATTTTAAAAACGAAACAGAAATGTAAAAAAAAGTGTCAGGCCGAAACCGATACCGAAAATGTTTTTTATTTTTTTTAAATATTGTATTTTTTATAAACTTTAATTTGTATTTATTAATTCATTTTTTATTAAATATTTTTTACTTTACTTTTAGGGCCTTCAGGGAAATATTAGGGGTCTAAACAGACCCCTGATATTTCCCTTTTAAAATAGAAAAAGAGATTGAGAACACAGAGTCCTCTATCTCTTTTTCATGCGGCCGATATATCGGTGCATACCTAATTAAATGCCTTTCACCCAAGCTATTGCAAGTACTTCTTATCTGCCTGACATGACAATTTAAGAGAACACACAATACATACTATACACAACAATTTCAAGACTGACCTCTTTCCAAAGAAACATAAAACCTAACTCTTGAGAGTTATGAGTCTGTCATACCCAAGTTTACACATTTCTTCTATATTCCTTTGTTTTACATCAGTCTTACCTCAGGGCTAAACCTCTCTCCTCCATCATAGCAATGCTATCGCCTCCACTCTACTGCTGTGTTATGTATTTTGAAAGGAGTGGCCCGTACCAGGGAGGCAAAGTCAGAGGTAACAGGAAGGCTGATGTAGAACCTAAGTATGTAGAAGGCTTGTCCTACAATACGTATCACAAGGCAGATGGCTGGTTATCAACTAATTCTATGGAAAGAAGAAGCTCTGAAAACAAACATTTTTCGAAGAGTATGCTATAACATCTTAAAATTGCATCAAGGCCATTCCTGAATAAGAAACAGAAGCAACAGGCCCTCTTTAATGCCAGAATATATCATGGATAGTTTGATTATTACTCTCACCTGGATGACGGCACTGAACCAACAAGTGTTTCCCACATTTTTTAACCCCACCGGGCAGTTGTCTTGCCGCTTTCGGTCATATGGATTGGGAGAGTCACTCCAAACCTCGGTGTGGGTGCGTTTTAAACTGGCCTTGTTCTCGGCTATACTGGCCTCCAACACCCTAAAGCAAGATATAAAACATAAGTCATCATGATTCTAGATCTAAGGGTATGTTTAAAGAAGAACTAGTCTTTCCAAAGCAGAACCTGGCTGGCATCATTAATGAGCCATGGAATATTTTATTTCTTATAATTTAAAAGGAATACATGTTTTTATTACCTAATTTTGTTCTCCATGGTCCCTGAGTGTGTTGTAAAGTAGTCACCGCTCCAAGCTCACTCCTGTGATAGACTACAATCTCAATACAAATTAGTAAACTAAACATAAGATTGTAGTCCATCACAGGAGCAAGATGGAGTGCTGGCTACTTTACAACACACACAGGGTCCATGGGAACAAAAGTAGCCCCCCTCCAATAAGTTATTACTAAAACCAGTGATAATCGAATGCTGAGGCAATTATGATAAAGATTAGATACATTTATATAAACTTACAGATACATTTAAGGGCAACCATAATGTTGATGCGGCCTGCTCTACAGGCTTTGCAAATCCAGACTTTTTAAATGTTGCCACACGCCAGTGACCAGGCTTCTCAATTTGATACTGAGACCACAGCACAGCATTGTGCTCCAACTTCGAAGATGTTTCAATTTGCATATGTAGTTTACTATGGCCACTATGGAACACAGCAAGCAAGCGCTGGAAATGTTTTGTTCTTTTGGTAAATCAATACAGGCTTACTTTGAAAATGGCTGATGGGCTGAGCAGACCCTATACGCTTCATTTAGTTTTCCAGCCTGCTTCAAAGATTACCAAAACCCCAGAATTACAATATAGTGTGAGGTATATACCACCTGGTATACCTGAAGGCCTGTTTTCTAATGGTCAAAACGCAGACACTTCCAGTCTTTACCCACTTTTTACACTCTCTGGTCAATAGGAATGTCCATGAAGCAGGATAGGTGGGCAATCAGGAACGATCTCAGAATCTGTATATCAGAATGGCCAGGGATTAAAGCGACACTAAACTCAGGAGTTAAATCTTAAAAATGCATTCAAGTACCTTAACTAATAATACAAATGTATCTTATTTGTGTATCACTCGGCTGTAGATCCTCAAATCATCCATCACAGGAGCAAGATGGAGTGCTGGCTACTTTACAACACACACAGGGTCCATGGGAACAAAAGTAGCCCCCCTCCAGAAGGAAGGACAGTGTTAGCAGCAGTTCAGAGATGATTTGGGGATCTACAGCCGAGTGATACACAAATAAGATACATTTGTATTATTAGTTAAGGTACTTGAATGCATTTTTAAGATTTAACTCCTAAATGTAGTGTCACTTTAAAGTTACTGGTGCCAGTTTCTTAAACAGCTGTAACTCATGATAATCCGGGCAAAAGCCACCAACCAACTAGTAGAAAGCATTTCCGAAACTGGGGAGCAGGCATAGTTTAGGGCAAGCAAGGACATAATATTGCAGGCACTGGTAATTTCATTAGAAGGGACTTGAGAAAACATGTAGATAACATGACAAAACACCTTCACCATACCTGCTGATGGCTTGTTCCTCGTCAGTAATGCCAGTCTCCCTGAACGTCCTATTTGACTCTTCCAGGCTCAGTGCTATTGCCCTCTGAAGGTCATCTTTATCATCACCAGTGAGATCGATCACATCTGGTAAGGAAAAAAAGAGGAACACTTAGTTGAAGACACCTAATATCTTTCAAGGTGACAGTAAATGCAGTTAATGGTTCCTAAACCTTTCGAAGGAAAAAAACAAAATCTGCTTTACAATGCAGTGATGACCTTTCATCCATTAATTGAGATTGACAAATCGCTAATACAGGTCCACTTTGTGTTTCAGCTTGCTTGCCGTGACAATAAAACAGTCCATGGAAGAAACGATCCCTTAGGCAAAATCTTTTTGTTTGTTTTTGTATTACAAGAACAGAAAATCAACTGTTCACGAAAGACTTCACATGGGAACATGTTTTCAATGATCAAGACTGAGCTTAAAAAGAAAAGTCAAGCATTTTCTATGCAGACAATTACAGTTATTAGCAATCCAGCTCTGTGCCTGGAGAGTAGATAGCAATGAAATAAACTGATTATAAACTGCACTGCATCAGTAACTGGCCTCTGAAATGTTACGCTGCCCACACATGGCAAGCGGCTGATGATTGAAAAAACATATGCATTGAGCAAACGTGCCACATCGGCTGCCACCCATGTTTTCATACATTTTCTGGCTTCAGGTGGCTAAATAATCGAAGAGAAAAGTTTAGTCACTTATAGTTCCCTCAAATCAAGAAAGAATTGGAACAATGGTTGGCAGATTGCTTTGGATTATACATTGCTGTAGGTTCTTCTTTAGTTTGAAAGCCAATGGAAAGCTTCCACAATTGCCACCATTGTCTGTGTTTTTTCTGGACAGCTTGAGGGCCACTATCCCTTCCTATCTCCCCTGGGAGCCCAGCTTCATCAACAGCATCTAGTGTGCGAGTAGGCCTGTGCAAACAGCTCAGCAGCCTTCCATCCAACATCCTTTGATGAAATAAATCAAAGATGCCAGGCAGAAGATGGTCAGGTTTTCCGATAGCGATGCACCTGCCACTGTAAAATACAAGAGATTCCATCCATGCGGTTTAGTGTGGATGAAAGAATCTGTAAGAATATTTTCATTCAGCCCACATGCTAAACAAAGAAAATCTAACAGTGTATGGCACGCTTTAGAAAGCCAAAAACTGTGACCTTAGGGGCTCGTGTAGAAGGGTGTTGCATTTCTGCGCTTGAAATTGCAATTCAGAAGTTACATTTGACCAGTTTTGTGTTGCTCTACAATGAAGCCCTAATGGGTGAAACACTTTAGAACGGGCGGCTCCTACGAGGGGAGTCTCGGTATGCTGGAAGTACTCGTGGATTAATCCTTCTGGATTAAAAATTGGTTGTCAGTTGGACTATGGTGTGTGGCTTTCTTTGATTTGCAGTTTTGTGTTGCATTTAATCAAATGCAGCCTGTCCCACCGACTTTCAATTGAATTGCAGGCAAGGCAGCCTTTTCTCATCAAGCAATGCGTTTTTCATTTGAGCACATGTGTTTTGAGAACTGCTAGGTTCCAACTGCATTTGAGGGTAGCCAAACTCCGGCCCTCCAGCTGTGGTGAAACTACAAATCCCATGATGCATCTCTCTCTGGGAATCATGTCTGTGGCTGTGAGAATCTTGGAATGCCTCATGGGATTTGTAGTTCCAACACAGCTGGAGGGCCAGAGTTTGGCTACCCCTGTCGTAGAGGGTTGCCATTTGTATAGTGGTGTATTATGGTTTGGAACAAATATGGTGCAGAGCTGAACTGATCTTGCTGCAAGGTGTATGTGCAGCTTATACTATCATCTACCTTCTTTAGCCATTCTTTTTTAACTCATCACTACTGTCCCCTTGGCCCCTTGAAGATTCTACCTGCTTAGCTGTCATGATAAATTAACAGCCTTGTAATTTTCTGACTCACAGATTCAATACAAGCATGAAGTCAGTAAAGTCACAGCTGCAACCTTCTTCCAGGTCAGTGATAGAGGAAGCACTGAAGCCATTGGATCAACCTAACAGGAAACTAGCATTTTCAGATGGCAAGGCATAAAATGCCACCCATGTATTTCTCTCAGCACAGGTTTCCTTTAAAGCAGTCTTCTTGATGCCAGACTGGCCTGACTTGCTCCTGAACTCTACATTCACCCGCCCACAATTATGCAAATAGTTCTTTTACACTGTCCTCACCACTGCACTCATCTTTATTTATGGCCAAGTCTGTCATATGTAGTAGGAATTCATAGGGAAAAAAAACAAAAACAAAGCTGTCAGAACGTAGCACAACGCTGAACAGGTTTTTAATTATGCAGCTCCTAAGGTTTCATTTGCATACTTGATAAGCAACAAAATACATCTGATTCCACGTTGCAGCCTGTTAAAATATCCGTGTTTAACTCGGATGTCAATGATTTGGTGCTGGCTTGCAAACAAGAAAAATATTCTGTCAAGCCAGCTTGTTATCTCGGTCGGAATAGGCTCCCAAGCCTTTCAGCTGTAAACATCCTGTCTAAACACAAATTAACAATACTGAAGTGCAATTAAGTCATATCAGCTGCAAGATCAGAAAAAAAAACTATGTGCAGCTTACGGACGCATTCACATAGGATTCAGACACCCGACACTCCAAACTAGAAACCAACAGGCAGATTTAAAAGATAAGTGCACCTTTTGCCTAAAGTTTCCCATAGAAGGAGTGAATTTTGGGCAGTTCTTGATTAACCGGCCAAAATCAGCTCCATGGGTGGCCCTGTTAGCAGCCTCCCACCTGATCTGAAAACTGGAGAACCCGGGTGAAAAATTGTTGGCCAATCAGATTAGGTGGTCACAGCACTTTGATCACAGCAATAGCGGATCGCTGTGATCACAGAGCAGCGACAGCCACAGAGCCGGCAGCAGCTCACTGTGTTGTGCAACTGCGAGCCGGCTAGTGTTACAAAGCCCCTGTAAATAAAAAAAATAAAAAACCCTTAGTGCCCCCTGGTTTAAAAGAAAATGATAAATAAAAAATAAAGTTTTTAAAATTTTTACAAATTAAAAAAAAAAAAAAAAAGTTTTAAAAAAGCCAAAAAAAGTTTACGTGTTGACATATCTGTATATTGTATGTTGCCGTTCTTTTCTTTTTGTACTCCTGTGAAAAATTTTATAAAAACCTCAATTTAAAAAAAAACAAAAACGTATATAATACATGTAGGTGTAATGAATGTGGAAGATGGAAATTATGGTTAAACAAACACATAGCAAAAAATGGAAAAATTGCTTTGGTCCCCAGGAACAAAAAAGTTTCTGAAGCTGTGGCACTGAGGGGTTAAACCACTGGCATAAAGTGCCTTTTGGGAAGACATGTACTGATTCCCAGATTTCTCCTTAATTGTACATTTAACCAAAACTTTTTTGGGGGAAGAGCATAGGGTAAAAACTAGGGATGCATCGATACCAATACTAGTATCGAGTACTCGCCCAAATGCTCTGATGCCTAGCACGAGTACTTCCTGTATCAGGAAGCCAGGCAGCGCGTCATTACACGCTGCCCGGCTTCCCGATTGGCCGGGAAGCAGCTCCATGCTCTCTGGTCACTTGTGATGACAGAGCATGGAGCCGACTTCCCGGCCAATCAGGAAGCCGGGCAGCTTGTAATGACGCGCTCCACGGCATTCTGATTGGCCGGGAAGCTGGTTTCATGCTCCCTCGTCATCTCATGACGAGGGAGCATGGAGACGGGCTCCAGGCCAATCAGAAAGCAGGACGTCGCGTCATTACACGGCGCCCGGCTTCCTGATTGTCCCGGCCAGACGGCTTCGGCTGGGTACCGGAGGAAGGCCGCGTGACAGGCTGGACATACCAAGGTAGGACGGTTCTTTCTTGTTAATCGGGAAGCCGGGTAGCGAGTCTTTACACGCTGCCCGGCTAATCAGGGAGCCAGGTGGCGAGCCATTACACGTCACCTGGCTTCCTGAATGGGACTTCCGTTACTCGGGAATTGGTATCGGCGAGTACTGGATAAATGATCAGTACTCTGCACCAAAATACCGTTATCGGTGCATCCCTAGTAAAAAACCTGTTTGTTTTTTTGCTTGTTTGCATCCAGCTTGGGAGATTTTGCATTCACTTCCTATTCTTTAACAGGAAAAGGAAGAAATCTGAATCCCAACATTAAATGACTGTCACAGGAACATGTATCCATCTCTAGTGTATGATTTACCCTCACCTCTTGCAAGAACCCTAAAGGTTTTGATTTCCCCTTACTATTTCTAGGTGACAATGGTCAAAATGACAAATACAGGGGTCTGTCTTCCACACAGACCATAAACCAGGCAGAAGGTCTAAGCTCCTTCTCTCTGAGGATGTCACAAGGCCCTGTTAGTTAGGGGTGAGAGGTCACCGGAAGTGTTGCTTGACCTTATATTGAAAGGATGATCTGATTCCCGAGTGTACATAACAGAGCCGTGTAATTAGAAGGAATATTCCCAGAGTTCTGTGTTTGATATTATAATTGCTGGCAGATTGCATGTTAGTGGCATGGATACAAGCAGTTAGCAGGGCAGGAATTCTAGAGGCTTCACACTTCTGACTCTTAGCTCCAACAGTCACCATCAGACAAGTTACGTAAAGCTTTATAAGAGGATAGAAATAATTCTGTCATAGGTAAGCCTGCAGAATTAGAATAACTTTAAAATGCCCAGATTCTTATGAAAGCCCAAATGTGACTTGTTCTCTTTAGAACATGACTTACTTGTGTCTGCCTGGCTGCCGACACTGATGTAACGGTCATTATTGGGGAGCGCGGTCTGATAGTACGTGGCTTCATCTGGCTGAGGGAGCTTTGCATTATTTGCCGTGAGAAACGTCACCGCTGACTCCAGATTTCCATTACTGTCCTGAAAAAAAAAACGCAAACAAACAGCATTAATTACATTAATTTAAAACAGAGATGTGAGGGAAACTGTGCGCCACCAACGCATATTCCTATTTAAAAACGTACTTCATGCCATCGTTTCATGAATCCATTTATAGTGTCATTGGAGATTCGAATTCAAACATCTAAAATGAGATGTCTAGTGCAGTGCTCGTCTGTGCTGTGTGTGCATGACTGCTTAGTTCACCATGGATATGAATAAGGGTCAGGAAGGGGCACCTCAGGGAGCTGCAAAGGGGCTCTAGGGAAAACAATGCAAGTCAAAATGCACCAATGGCTTTCACTCACATATGTCACATCCGTTGAGGGAGTGTGCAAAGAGTCATTAGGCTCAGTTCATTCTTCAACATGGAACTTTCAGAGGTGCTCGGCAGGTGATGGAAATGCACTCAAGTACTCCTTTTGACCTCCTGTTAAGGCTAGGTTCACACCTAGGCGATTTAGATGCCGAGCTGTTGTTGCACGTTTTTTCGGCCATGCGACTGTTCATCGTAAGTCGCGCGGGTTTTTTTTTTTTCAATGCAGAGATGTCTATGGGACCCAAACCGCGCGACAACTGCCCGAAAATAGCTCCTGCACCTTTTCGAGTGACAGGCGAAAAAAGGTGTGAGCAGCCTCCATTAACTTCAATGCGAATCTGTGTTTTGCGTGGTAAATCGCCTAGGTGTGCACCGGCCCTTAAAGTGTATGTGTAGTTTTGAATAGAATATGGAAACTTTCTGTTCCTGTGACACCAAAACAATAAATGTGGGGTAGGGTTGTCATCAACGCAGAAGGACACGCAATAAAAACATGATCAGAAATTTGTGTTTTTGTCTATACGCCTGTTGGAAGGATTTGACATCACTTAATATAGCGTACAACGTAAAATAAAAAAGGAATTGACAGGAGTTAAAAACAAACACAAACTTTTAGGAAATCCAGGAATATAAAGCAAATCTACAAAATCTAAACTTTTATCTTTGCCCCTTCTTTGCTGTACTGGTAGGGATATCACAGACTCAGGAAAGGGTAAACACTGCTCTGTTTACATTAACCATGTCTCCATCTGTGGCGTTTGCACACCGCCAGAGGCAGACAGGTTGTTCATGCGTTTTCCTAAGCTAGTCGTGAAAATCAAAACGCAATTTAGAGGAATCCATGATGACTTAATTCTAGCGTGGATACATGTTCCCTACCCATGCAACACTCACACTGCCTGCTTCAAACAGTTTGCCATCTTTGGTGACTGCATGGATGCACTGCTGCACACAAAACACTGAACCAAAGAAGTTTTTTCTCACTGAGTTTTTCAGAAAGCCTGTTCATCCGACAAATGTAGTTTTGTCGACCTATGGACCCAGGCGTAGTCTGGAGATGGAGCGGTGACACTGGAAAGTGCAAAGTTGAACCAGGAAACAGTGGTGTCACATCACTGGCTGAACAGAGTTACAAATCCTTGGCTGGGTAAAATACAGTTAAACATCTCAGCTGTGTAGAGGTTTGTGGCCAATTTAATTCATCCAACCATGTTAAAGAAAGACATTTTTTTCCAAGATATGTGGAAGTGGCCAACCACATCATCAGAATGGGAGGTGTCAAAATTGTTGAACCAATGCAGAAGTGCTAGCGGTGCAGTCCCTAAAAACACAGAAAGAATGACATTTCACTTCTTTGGGGATGCTCGTGGTGTGTATAATGCTCGTACTTTTTTGATCTTTCAAAGACAGAGGAAGAATTTCCATGGAGTTTTGCTCCTCCGGCCATTGCCGGTGAAGTCGGACGCCTGCTCCTTTCTCCATAATGTAAAATAAATGTAAAATGACCTGATCATATCTGGAGAGAAAAAAAAGAGGGACCTCAGGACTCCAGTGTAGAGCTCGTGCTGCCAGTGTCCAAGTGACATATCTAGCCAAGTATAACCCCCACCAACCTGCATCTATCAAAAACTTTAACCATTGAGGGGACTGACCCCCAATCACAGGAAACAAAAACAAAAGCTTAAAAGGAGAACTATGGGGTATGTGTTTCTCCCCATAGTTCTCCTAAGGGTCACGGGAGGACACAAACTAGCTTCCTCCTGTGACCCAAAGCTCAGTATAACGCGAGCTACAGCTCGCGGTATACTGAGACGCCGCAGCCGGGACGGATCCCGACATTACTGTCGAGATCCAACCAGCTGCGTGACTGACACATGGCTCTTCCTATCTAGAGGCAGAGCCAGCTGTACCCGCCCCCTCCCCCGTCCGTTCCTCCAGTCGGCGATGGAGGCTCGGAGTGGGGAATCCCTGCAGGGAGCCGTTACAGTCACAGCTCTCTGCAGGGACATGATCGAGAAGTGAGCTAGCGACGGTATGTGTTCGCTCACTTCCCGATCTATTGAGCCGACCTGTGACAGTTTAATTGTCACAGGTCGGCTCGAACTATGAGGCTGAGTGAAAATCACTCACTTCATAGTTCTCGAAGAAATAGGACACGTGGGTTCACTACAAGCAGCCCTTACAACTCAACAGCCTTGTTGATCTTAGGTTATGTTATAATCACAGTGCTTGCCAACATTTCAAGGACAAACCAAGGGATTTCCGAACTGCTTATTGTTTGCGCTCATTCCAAACACGTGCGTTTGCGGGCCTCGCATATATGAACAAATGTTTAATAGGAAATCTTTCCAAAGATTAACAAAAATGCTTGAAACGCAATTTGTGCAAAACCCCTTTTTCTAGAGTAGTAAGGACAAAACAGCCAACCTTCAGCTCAGTAAACAGAATTCTTATATAGAATGGATTGATTCATCAGGAACAAAGCTGCATAGAGTGGGGGATCTTTATGCAGCAAGAATCTAGGGATGGTTTAGGATATTATTAGAAATGAGAACTGTAAAGGCCTTCTTTGGTCTTTAATGGCAACTTCCAGCACAAGGTTGCATAGCAAAGCTTTATGGATGTCCAATCTCTCTATTTCTTTATACTAATTTACAGTTACGCATTAGCTGGGAGTTTTAGCTCAATATTCATATAACAATGTCATGTGCTAAAGGACCATGACAACCAAAACACACATATACCTGTAACAGCAGTATTACTGCTGTTACAGGTATTACAGTGGGTCGCTGCACTTTTCTAGGTGAGAGGTTACTCAGCCTCCCCCTAGCGCAACACTGTCAGTTCTCGCACCAAGCAGCATTTAAAATATGCTGCCCGGCAACGAGTGTCAGCTTGAGGTGGGCTGGGGCTATAGTCATGAGGGAGCTCCATCCATACATGCATGGCTTACAGCTCCCTCATGTGTCTTGTAGAGGTGCCTGAACTTGACATCACATTCTGGCTCCCGAACACCTCTACAGGTGATGCAAGGGAGTTGTAGCAGAAATGCACATATGGATGGAGTTCCGTCACAGCACAGCAGCCCACACTGGACCCCAGGCTGAGGATCCGCTCCAGTTCTTTTAAGATAGGGAGACGAGGTGGATCTTTAAAAAAAGAAAAAAAATAATCATTTTTTTGGAGTGTGTAGGAGAAGGTCTGTGATTGTGTGAGATTGTGTCTGTGGTTATGTGTGTCTGTCAGTGTTTTTGAGGGCCTGTTCACACTAGTGCAGTGCGTTAACAGTCCCATGCGATTAATGCACTGCACCACGCAATTGCATCTACTGCGCATTCTGGTGCATTACGTTGCCATTCATTTGAACGGTACCCCAAATGCACCACCCACTCACAGTTCGATCGCCCACAAAGGAACGTATGGTACCGCAATGCCATGCATTCCAACACAGTGTGACTTGGGTCGCGACTTAATGACCAAGGACAAATGTGGGTCCTGAGGTTACACAGGTTGAGAACCACTAAAGTGCAACTGCAAGCCGGCTGCGTGTTACAAAAGTGAAACAAAGTACCTCTGAGGAGAATAGTGTATTCTCCTCAGATATACGAAGTATGAAAGACCCTGTAAATTAAACAAAAATAACTCCTCAGTGCACCCTAGATTATAAAAAATAATACATTTGAAAAAAATAAAAATAAAGTTAACATTTTTTAAAAATGAAAAAAAAAAGAAAAAAAAGTTTGAAATAGCCACAAAAGTTTTAAAAAATAAATTTAATTTAAAAAACAAAGAAAATATAGTGCTGAGGAGGCTTTTAAAGATAGGCAACAAACATACTACATTCTACAATTGTTCCAAACTAAAATTGTATTTCACTCCTTGTATTTTGTGACCTTTAACTCCCAAAATAAACTGGAATCCCAGACATAAAATATACCCAATAAATCGGAACTACATACATATACATATATATATATATATATATATATCAAATCAAATTAAAGCCCATTTGTACTTTAAAAAAAACGTTATGTAATATTTGTAGGTGCAATGAATGAGGAAGATGAAAATTATGGTTAATAGAAAAAAATGGCAAAATCTCTCCGGTCCCCAGGAATGAAAAAGGTTTCTGAAGCTGTGTCACTAAGGGGTTAAGAAAGTAAATTGTCATTCATAAACACAACATTCCCCTGATTTAGCCCCATGTATTCTAATGAAAGTATTGCTTGGAAGACATGTTGTTTATAATTTATCTGAATGAAGCCTTCAGAGACATACAGAAGTTCCGATATCAGAGTTCCTCCACACCCACCATTGTTTAGCATGTCTCCAGCAAACCACACTGCAGCCAAGTCCTAGGAAGGTTCCAGACCTCCTCCCTCATGTTGATTTCAGAGCTCTTACAAAGACAGTGAAAAAAGTAGCCAGTAACTGTGGGTGATGACAACAAAGTTCAACGAATGCTAAAGTGTGTACTTAACCGAACCCTTTCGGAAAATGCCTTGAGTGCTCCCTTTAAAAAAAAAACAAAACCTAATAATAATTCTAATTCACATGTGCGTTCCGATCGGGTCCGCCTGTCAGTTTTTAAGGCGGACCCGATCGCATGACCAATGCTAGTCTATGGGCAGTCGCAACTAAACAAAGGGGCATCAGTTTACACCCAGTTACCCCGACCCCGGCTGGGTCCAAAAAAACAAAAGTAATAGAGTTCCATATGGCTGGACCTGATCGTGCCAAAACACAAGAGGGAGGAAAAAGAACTGCACGGACACGGGTGTCACAGCGGTGACGTCCGATCCATACCGCTCCAATAAGGCGATCTGTGCACAGATCCACTCCTGATCAGCCCATGTGAAAGGGGCCTAAATAATATTAGAAACCTTTGAAAGGGGCAATCCTCATAAAACTCATTAAGTAATGCTAGAGAGCTGAATCATAAACTAACTTTTCTCTCTGGCCATCATTAAATTCCTGTGCATGACGTCTTGGGCCTGCACCTCTACTGAGGCCATTACATGGCTGTCTCACTGGAAAGGGTCAAACCTCATAAAATTCATTACGTTCTCTGGCCATCATTGGAAATTCACACCATTCTCGCACTTTTGAAAAATTTAAACAGTCCCTTATACAAACCCAAAGTGGACCTGTTTGGTACGAATAGTAGGTCCAATCTGAAGGCAGTGCGGATCTCTGCAGCACTGTACTATGAGCCCAAGCGGAAGTAGTGAGACACCCCCAGAGGGTCTTTCCATGATAACCTGAGCTCAAAGAAAATAGACCTGGACTGAACCTCGGAGCAGCGAGTCTGTGGGGGGGCAGCACCAAAGAGGAGGCAAGTATTCCAGCATCAACTGGTTTACTTATTTTTTTTACAAAGCTGATCTATTAGGAAAAACAGAACTAGAGTTCTGCCTTAAAAGAAGTAGAACATCTTGGAATTCTAATTGAGCAAAGCAATAAAACGGTTTGCTTATGCAATAGAAATGAATGGAAAAGTGACAGAACTTACTTTTAACGCTTGTTGAAGTACCTGCAGGTCATTAATGCCGGTGATCTCCCGAAGCTGATTTATGAACGTCTGCTGGTGCTGAAAAACAAAAACGGAGGCCACTGTCAGCAGGGGTTTTCATTGTACAAAGCACCAGCAGCATCCGATTGACAGGAATCCATTCCTTTTTTTTAGATGTATGTTAATGTAATAGGCTTAAAGTGTATTTCAATCTTTACAGCCAATTTTGAGACACTCCCAGTTTGCTATGTGTTCCCATTCACACAGCATACCTAAAAATCATTTAAAGGGTATCTATGGGTCAAGTCAAGGTCTGAAGAATGTAACATTATCATTGCTTGCTGGCAGCAATGCATGATGGGATGTGTAGTCTTGAGATTGCATCACATCAAGCAGCAGGGAAAGAGACACAAAGCACACTGGGAATCCAGGAAGTTGTTGGAAGTGATGGGCAGACAGAAGGCGGCACTTACTACATAAAAGGGATTTTTTTCAAGTAAGCGTTGATTGTATTATCACAAACAAGTCCAGTATATATCCCTATAACAATGCTGATGTTGTAATAGGAGAGGATATGCTGGGACTTTACAACTCCTTTAAAGCTTCCCTTCTGTACACGGAGTACAGGGAGTCAATTGGTGGGCGCAGTCACCATGCAGAGGATGCTTTGTCCTTTTTTCAATGGATACAAATCATTTTCTGATTGGATGAGGTGGAGATTGAGATGTCATCTGCCCCTCTTCTCCACCTTGGCCAATCAGAGAATGGCTATGGAGCAAGTTTATACACAGAACTCTAGAGGCAGCTTGTAACGTGCAATGTTTTCAATATGGACACTTTAGTGACAAACTAGTTTATAGCCCCTTTGCATCCAATGACGTACATAGTACGACATAGGCAGCGGGCCTGTTTAAACAATGGGACACCAGGACTCGGTTAACAATTGTAAAGTCGGTTGTCAGCTTTACATTAGAAGCGATTCTGGTGGCTAAGCTGCCGCCAGATAGCTTCTACAGTCCAGTAAAGGGTACACAGGGTACACAGTGTTAAATATGGTAAACCTGACTCCCAGAACCCTCCTTAACATTACGCAGAAGAGGAAAGCTGAATAAGGCTTTTTTTTTGAGTTTTCACAAGAGGGCAAGATGAAATTTTTATTTCTTTTTATTTTCGTTATGCTTTGTGAATGGGTACATGTAACAAATAGAAACTGGGTGTTACACCAAATTTGACTGCGAAGGTAGAAACACACTTTAAAACAAATATATTTTTACATTGCAAATTAAAGTTATTTGTAACCCATATATGTTGTGCTTCCTCCTTAGCAGTGCTAGACAATGATTGTGTTGTACTCCTCCGCTCACAATGCAAAGTCAATCTGCAACGAGTGTCCGAAAACAAAAACTGCAGTAGTGTAAAAATTTGATCATGGCGGCGATTTACGGTGTGTGATTGGAAGGAGTATCTGCTCGAAGTTCTTCAAAAACAGAGACTTGCTGGAATGGTGTTCGAGGTGTGGTAGTTCCACAGAGCCAAAATGTGGGGATGGTGTGCTGGGTTGCTTGTAATTCTGCATAAACAGGTGGAATGCAGGGGGTGGTGTCCATTGTCTTGTAGTCCTACAAAAACAGGACGATTCACGGCAGTGTGCTAGGACTTGGTGATCTACCAGGGAATTGCTGGTACGGTATGCTAAGATGTGTAGTTCTAGACATGAAAATTCATGGTACAGTGAGCTGGGACGTCCACAGAGGCATAGGATCAGTTGTAGTTCTACAGACACAGGAAATCAATGATATTATTATGTACTGTATGGAAGCAATCTGTATTATAGCAAACAGACTGCAGATGCTCCCTTCCCCCTGCACATCTCATCACCAAGGGTGCTCTGATTGCCTATTAGGGCTAGCAGCCCCTCTACATGCAGGGAGAAGAACGTGCAGTTGGCATGATTGGCTTCAAGCCATGGGTGGAAATGATGAGCTAGAAATGCTTTTAAAGTGTTGTGTATGGATGGTTTTGGGTACCGTAGTTTTTCACCATTTCACGTACGCACACATTTTGAGGCTTGATATATTTGGTATCTATTTACTCGATGCAACCTCTGCTTTTACATTTTACCAAAAAATAGGGCATTATATTGTGTTTGTGTGCACTAACATGGAGTGTCATTTTACTGAAAACACGTTTAATAAACAGTAATGTGATCTAAAAAACTTTTCAACTGCCACCATTGTATTCTGCCAGGTCTCTGCTTTCAGAAAATGTATAATAATTGGAGGGTTATAAAAGTCATTTTCAGGCCTTAATTGTGCATTTTAGCATGAGTGCAAAAAATAGGGGACGGGGAAAAAAAAAAGAAAAACAGGCTCCGGCAGCTAACGTGCTCAACCAACGCACTCCGAGATGGAGACAAAGCACAGAAGTGCTTACAGAGAACATGCTGATAGAAGAAGCAGACTGAGTAGAGGGAAGAAACTCATCAGTATGATGCGGTTCCTTCATTGTCCAGGTAGCAGGCTTGGGGTGTTTATGGAACAGTGATCATCAGGGACCTGAATGAGGCCTCGTTCACACCATATACAGTGCATTCCGGCCCGATTCTGGATGGAACGCACTGCCTCGCATTGCGGCCGGCTCATTTTGCCGGGCTGGAGGGGGCGTGGCAGGCCATTGGAGTGGCACCGTAGCCACGTCCTCCGGCCTCAATGCGATCGCCCGCACAGGATTGCAAGGCACATTGTGCCTGCAGTACGGTCCAATCAACATAGTGCTTGCAGCACTTGCGATCCCGTGCGGGCGATCGCATTGCGGCCGGAGGGCGTGGCTACGGTGCCATTCACTTCAATGGCCCACTCCAGCTCGGCAAAAAAGTGAGCCAGTGCGTTCCATCCAGAATCGGGCCGGAACGCACTGCATAAGGTGTGAACGAGGCCTAAGGTATATGGCAGAGGTCCCTGGAGTACAAAACTGGCTGCACAGAATTAACAGTGCACATATATTTATTGACACAGTATATTTGCCTATGTATTGGGAGTTAAGTGACACTAAAAGCTAATTTTTTGTTTTTCCCTAAAGCTGCTGTAAGGACTTACTCTTAAACCTGCCAAGGCCTGACAAATTTGCTTTGAATGTAGGAGCCAGCTAAAAAAAAAAAGTTATGAGCCAGGACATGCGCAAGCGCAATCATCATTTTTGTATGTAGGAGCACCCACATGGGTAGGTGGACTCACAAGCCCCCTATGTGATTGCACATTGAAGATGACAGGCTCTCTTTAAGGTGACATTAGGGATCTATTAGACCCCTAGTGTCACCTTTCCACTTCAATAGCTTTTGCCGGGGAATGACAGCTGCCTGTAAAACCAGAAGGCAGTGGCTGACAGTAATAGCCAGCCTGCTTTTGGCTACTGCAATTTAAAATAGCAGGCTGGCTATTGATGCCAGCCACTGGATGGGAGAATAAGCAGTTGATCCAAAGAGGGGACACAGCGGTTGTGTCCCCACCGATCCCCGCTGCCTCTGCTGATACATGTGGGGAGAGCATCATGGATCGATGGGGACCCAGACCGCAGCATGCAGTGGGCTCCCAGTGGGGAGGGGAGCAGGAGCAGAGCTGCTGTGGTGGCGGCGACAGGGGACAGTGAACGGGCTGAAAAAAGCCCAGACGCCAGGAAGATCAATTTCTAGTCTCCATGGTGATCGGGGATTTGTTGAGCCCTGCCTTATGTGTTGCCTCTTGATGTGTACACTACTTCCTTCCAGTTGTTTCGAGCTGTCCCCCCAGTGCTGGAGCCGTTCCCCGATGCTTCGGTGGCTCCTCCATCTTTCAGTGTCCCGCAGAGACACCCCTGTGTGCGCACTCCCAGCATGCGTTCATTGAATCACATTGTCTCACACTGCAAGCCACTCCTCATTCCCCCACCTGCAACCTCAAGTGCGCATGAGCCAGCACACATCTCCCACACTTACATTTGGGAAAGCTGGGAATGAGCGGCACAGTCGGGTAGATATTTAAAATGTATGGGCACACTGCAGCTTTGGTCATGCTATACTGCTTGCTTGTAGGAGAATAACTTAAAAAAAAAAAAACCTGAGAGCACCACTTTAACTACCCTGTTTCCCCGAAAATAAGACCTACCCCAAAAATAAGATCTAGTACTATTTTTGGGAATTGCTAAAATATAAGACCTACTCTGAAAATAAGACCTAGTTGTGACCCTTCCCAGGGCCGGCGGTGGCATAAGGGGGAACTTGAAGAGCCGCAGGAGAGAATCAGCTGTGCCAACAAAGCCAGCGAGGCGCCACTGGAGGGAGCAGAGCCGCATAAGCCGATGCTTCCTCTATAGCGCCGACTCCTGTCACTGGCAGAGTGATACCAAATGCACTCCGCCTGTGAGGAATCTATAGTGAAAGCGCGCTTCGCTCATTCTGGCCAGCGATTGGTTAGCAAATTGCTCTTGGAAAGGTACGGCACCCCTGATCACCATATTTTTGTACAGGTATTCCTCACTTAACGACCGAGTTCCGTTCCTACGACCAGGTCGTTAAACGGATTGGTCGTTAAGTGAGGAACTCTATACAGTACTATACTGCATTAGTACAGTACTGTATAGCGTTGCCGATGTACAGTACCGAACAGTGTACTGTACATCCGGCAATGGAAATACTTACCGAGACCTGCAGTGAAGATCGGGGGATGTCACTTCCGCCGGCGACCCGTCGCACTGACGCTGACGCGGAAGGTCGGAGGTCGATCGGCGGTCCGTCGTAAGTGCGAGTGGTCGCAAAACAGGTAAGTCGGTAAGTGAGGAACATCTGTACATGAATACATGTAGACTGTTGTACATAAAAAAATAAAATAAAACCTACCCCCGAAAATAAGACCTAATGTGTTTTTTTGAGCCAAAAAAAATATAAGACAGTGTCTTATTTTCGGGGAAACACGGTATGTCTGCTTTCTTAACAGTGCTGGTTTATCTGCTTTTTTGTTACTTTTTCCCTATTTCCATCCTGCTGTTGCAGAATTATGGCTTTAGATAACAGGGAAATGCATTACACGTGACATGGCTATAAGAGC